ACAGCAAATACGACAGGCTCTGACACAAGTACGGCAACAACAACACATGTGGCCACTACAGCAAATACAACAAGTTCGAATACCACTGTGATGTCAACAGCAACAGTAACTTACATTGCTACAACTCAAAATGCAACTGCATCTAATACGAGCTTGGTAACAACAGCAACAGTAACTTCAACGTCTGTCACCAGTGTAGCTGCTACTAGTGTAACCAGCACAACAGCAAATGCGACAGGTTCTAATACGAGTGTTGTATCAATAGGAGCGACGACTCCAAGTATCAGCACCAGTACACTAACTGCGAGTGGTACTGCAGTGTCAACATCTACAAATGTAACAACTGGAACGACGGCAGGCTCTAATACAACTATGATAACAGCTACTGTTCCTACAGGTTCGTCTACCACAACAACGAATGTAACAGCAGCTTCTACTAGTATTACAAGAATAACTTCAGTAACGTCTGGTGCTAATGCAACATCCAGTGCTGCTACAACAGAAGCAATGACAACACTATTAAATGGCACAATATCTACGGCTAACATAACAGTAACAAGTTTTACCGCTACTTCAAATACAACAATAACTGGCACGATATTTACTACTGTGCCGACTGCTACAACAATCACCACGTCTTCAGGATCGACAAATTCAAATTTAACTGCAACAAGTAATATGTTAACGATAACTGGTAATGTGACAGATACTAGTACGGCAACCATAACTGTTACATTAGCGCAAACTTCAATAACAACAACTAGCGTAAGATGAATATTTTTTTGGGGAAGGAAAATATCGCTTAAGAGTGAAAACTCTAGAGGAATTGAATTATACTAAGTGTTATTTTATTTGAAGCGTAGGTTAAATTTTACGGCGTAACAATAATTAAGAGTTCTATATGAAATATGTTTTGAAATTTAAAGTTTTTATAATAGGATCGTATATATATAAATATTTATGTTATTTTTTTGCTATTTGTAGACATCAATAAGTATTACGAATACATCGACATGTGGAATGACTCTATCTTCGAATAATACAAATCTTCTATTATCATGTTTAACGAATGCTAGTTTAACATTGCTTCCAATTAATAATTATGGTTTGGCTACTTTAAACAAGATTACATCATTAAAAGTCGAAGGATTGAATGGTACACGTGGACCTCTTGCAAGTATTCCACCGAATATTTGCTTTTTAACAAATTTACAAGTATGTTTATTTTTTGATGTAATCATTCTTATTTTTTGATATTATATTATATTTAAAGGAATTAGATATTTCGTTCAATCGTCTTAATTATGTTGATACATCATTCTTCTCGTCAAATCCATCTTGTCTAGGAAATCTACAAATCTTGGATATAAGTAATAATTATCTAACCGACTTTCCATCGATGTTGTTAACAAAAACAACAAGCATTGAAGAACTTTTCCTGGAAAATAATCAGTTAACATCATTTGATCTTGCATTAACTGTCTTAGTTTCAACAGCAGTTGATTTATCTAATAATCAAATATCAAAAATAACAAACAATGACAATATACATATATTAACATACAATCAATCACTTGGTACATCAATAGATTTATCCAATAATAGTCAAATAATGTATTTAACCGATAGTATTTATGAAATGTATGATGCTTGTCAAGAAGTTCAACAATTATTCAATACAAGTATTACTCCGATTACACCAATTTTAACGATGAGTTTTCTAAATATCAATTTTGATATCTCAAGAATAAATTGTAGTTGTGATCAATATTATATACAAAAAGAATTTTTTAATACATTTAACAACAGTCTTCCTTCAAACTCTTCATTAGCACAGACTATGTGTACTGATGGAACATTATTCTATAATAATACTCATACTGCAACTTGTTCTAGTTCATCAGCTAATTTTAACAATACAATACCACGTCTTTGTCAATTAAATCAAAACAATGGTAGTATAGTACTGGCGAATACAACGAATAATAATATCACTCTAGTAAGTTTTAAAGGAAAAATTTTTTTTCATATTATAATTTTTTTTTCAATAGACATATCCACAATATCTTACTCAAAGTATAAATAATTCATATTGTATATATACATTTTATGCAAGTGGTATACGAGCATCAATTGATTGTATAAATGGATCAAATAATTTAACTGAAATTCCATCAGTAATTCTTAATAATACTTATTTTCAAAATGTATCACAAGTTGTAATCAATAATCAAACTTCCATATCTCAATTACCAATTTATTTATGTTCATTACCATCTGCTACAATTGATTTATCTAATCAATCATTTAATATTTTGAATAGTAATACATTTCCTTGTGCAGCATATAGTACACTTCGAAATATCAGTCTTGATCATAATCATATTTATAATGTCAATCTAACTTATGTCAATTGGATAACATTTGATTTATCATTCAATAATCTTACACAATTACCATATAGTTTATTATATTCAAATGTAGTTGATAGAACAAGTCGACTAGAAATAGAACAAACTCTTGATCTATCATCAAATCAATTAAGTCAATTTGATTTATTTGTCTATACATATCCAAATACAAATATTGATTTAGAAAATAATCCATTTACAACAGTAAATGGTTATAATATAATTAATAATTATCAAAAACAATCATTACATAGTGGACCAGTATCAATAAGTGTTACTGTAACAAATCCAATGCGTTTTCTTCTCAATGATACCGTCGCACAAAATTATAATACATGTGACAGTACTACAATAGTTTATCTTATTGAAATATTTCAAACGATGAAAAATAATAATATAGTAGTACAAATCGATTGTCAATGTTCATCAATTTATATCAAAGAATATTTATATTTATCGAATTCATCAGATAAACTTACAAATCTATTTTCATGTAGTAATACATCAAGTTTAACTATGACGCAATTTGATAATTTAACTGAAACAGATTGTCTAGCAAATATAACCTTATCATCAAATAGACTTTGCACATTTTCAAGGATTGACGTAATTAATATTAAAAAGATTTATTTCCAAAAAAAGTGTTAATGTTTTTTTTTCTCTTTATAGACTACTTCTCTATCCAGTAGTACTTCAACAAGTGATAATGGTCGATTATTAGCTATAATTCTTGGTTCAGTTCTTGGTTCTATAGCTTTTATACTATTAATTGCATTGATTGTTTATTGTTTATGTCGTAATCGTAAAAAGACAGAGGATACACCTAATATAACAGTATTTGGAAGGTCTCCAGTTGTAAGTACGAATCGTCGTCGTAGTATACAAACAGCAACAAGAAGTGTTCATTCATCACGTGATATTAAACTTTCATCTGAATCCGAACATATTCATAGTTTAAGACATTTTTCACCAACTGAAATAACAACAAGATCACCACCTAGAAATTCACAATTACATTATCGAGAGTAAGCAAAAAAAAGCGATGCATCTGTTTTCTTTTTACATATATTATTAATATCTATTTTAGTTCACTTAATTCATTAGAACAAAATATTTTTTATGGTGAACAAGATCGTAATCGACAATTAAGACAACCACCAACTGATTTTGATATTAGTAGAAGTTTTCGTCATTTAGAAAATGCTTCACCAACGTCATCATTTATTTAAAACATTGATTTGTTATTTTCTTTTTAATTGAACGTTTTTTATGCAAGAATAAATTTGTAAATGTAAAATCTCTATTAACCCGATTTTAACATAGATCAAATCTTCAATGGATTAGTTTTATATCAGATTTTAATCTCTTTTTTTTGTTCCGTCGATAAAGAATATATTCTCTAGTTTTTGCACGATAAATGTTAGTCGATATTATTATTTATTAAAGAATGAGATGTTTTAATATGTCGTCTTTTTTTTTATAATAATATTTGAGTTTTAATGAGGGGAGAAAATAAATTCTGACAGGAAAATCTTAATTCATCTACGATGAAACTAATTATAGTTATTATCATATGAAGAGAAAAGATATTGATCAAGGATGACAAAAAAAAGGGTCAATGAATCATTATTTCGATGATATCTATTCGATTTTATTTCAAAAGTAACATGTAGTCTTTCTTTTGAATATATTTATATATATATTGTCCTTTTTACTATTTTTTCTCGTCCTCTTCTCTTTTTTTTTCTTCTTCTTCGATTTCTTTTTCTTTTTTTTCATTCCCATCTTTCTTTCTGGTCTTTTTTTCTCATCATCATTCGTCGTGTCACCTCTCCTCCTAGCGAGCTTTATTTTATTCATCAAATACATCATGCGCATATTTACCATCAGTTTTCTTTTCCTTCTTATTCAACGTATTTCTTTACAGCATTTTTTCATTATAATAATATTCTTTTTTCGTGCACTGACATCATTTTTGACATGAGAACAGTTTTTTTTATATTTATTCAATCAACTTGTGTGTTCTTGTTAGACCAATTAGTAAAGTTATTCGAGTGAACAAAAAGTAATCTGATGTTATTTTGACTGAGAAATGCTTATTAACCTTTCTTCTTCGTTTTTTTTCGATTCTCTTTTCATTGCAAAGATAAGAAGACATTTTGAATATGTATGGTTGGTCTTTGTTGATATGAATAGACTATACTGTATTTGTCTGCCGATGTCTGTGTATCATAAAATAGGTTGAAAGAGAGAGAGAGAGAAAAGCGAACAGAAAAAAAAATAAATGTTAGTACGATTATTATTATTTTGCGAAGGGTGTCGACATAAATGGCTGGCAGTAAAAATAGTACTCAAAAAAATATCTAACTAATAGTATTCCTGCTCTTTTCTTTCTATATATATATATATTGACATGTGTTTTCCTATAAAAAGTAAAGTCATGCATCGAATTTTTAATTAAAAATAGTTCTTTTTTTTCTTCTTTATAGTATAAGTTATCATGGCGACAGATACTACAACAACAACAACGTTATCTACTACATTATCTAATAATAGTACTATTATTACTACAACTGCTACTACTACTTTAGGTAATACAAGTTTGACAACATTTTTATCAACAACACTTTCAACAATATTAACATCATCATTATCATCAACAACTATTCCATCGAATGCAACTACAGATTATCAAAAATGTTTATTAAACAATTCTGGTGTAGCATGTCGATCAGCGGAATTTATTCGTGTATTAGCTTATCTTCTTTTGGGTGTATCACTTCTTCCACAAATAATTCATTTATTTAATCATGGTTCAAAATATATAGCTGGGATAAGTTATATATGGTTAATAGTACGTGTACTTGGCTTAACTTCATTAATGGTTGCACATGCATTCAAATGGACATCTATATTTGAATTAATTGCACTTATTTCAACTATAACTATATTTATACAAATATTCATATATGCCGATAATCTTCATCGACAACAAAAACTTATATTATTAGTTACTAGTTTATCAATATGGTTTATTGGTGGTAGTATTATAATATTATTGAGAAAGAAAGAGAGTTCATTAGTTTTAATTGGTTATCTATTACTATCAATGCATACATTACCTCAAGTAAGATCGATTAAATGCATATATATATTTCTTTTTAATCGCTTTTTTTATGTTTATCTAGATTTTACTTAATTCATTATTAAGAACAGCAAAAGCTTTATCAAAATTTTCTGTTTTATTTCTTGCAATGAGTGATACATTATTATTTGCAAGTTCTTATATATTCAATGAAAATTATTTTTATTTAGTCACATATTATTATGCTTTTTCGTTTTTCTTATTTATTTATCTTCAAAGTATAGTCTACGCTGATTCACATATCTATTTAATATCACGTTCAGCACATACTGTCCTCACGCCAGGTGTTAATTTATATACTGGACTTGATGCTACTGGTGCACGTAGTTCAGGACAAGAACCACAAATGTTTTCAATAGATGATTTAGAACCAGGTGATGGTACTGATGTTGTTTATCAACCAGTTACATTAAATAAACCAAATGAACCCATTGTTGAACAAACACCAATGAAACGATTTGTTTGGTATGCAACATTAGCATCAATTATTGGTATTGAAATAGTTTTAACAATAATGCTTATTCTCGGAGCATGGTCTAGATGGATTGTTCTTGTACCTATTTCAATTCCTATACTTCTTGGTATATTCTTTTTATTACGTACAAAATTAAATGTTATACAAACAGAAAATTTAAGAAAAATTTTGTGATCTGTTATATTATGTGTGAATTATATTACTTTGTTGTTTTTCTTTTTGTATTGTTCGCTTTTTCTAAAAATAAAAACATAGCCTAGAAAATGATTTTAGTCCAAAGAATCAACGATTGATGTATTATACTTTCGGATCTTTATTAGATAAATCTCTTTTGATTACCCATCATGGATTGACTTAAGATTTTATAAGTACTATATCATGATAAGAAATACAATTCCTCATTTAGAAAAGAAAAGCTTAGAAGACTTCGTTCGTTATCAAATTTTATAAGACTGAGAATTATTTCTTAATTAACATGTTGATTATATGATTCAATATTTATAATCAGTTGAAGTTACTTTTTTAATGTTTAGAAGCCACAAAAAACAAAAAGACTATTCGTCAGAGAAAATATAACAATTTGTCTGGTGTTATATATACATACAAACATTTTTTATCTCCTTTGGGGAATTATAGATGTCTGAAGAAAGAAATGAGTTTGTATAATATGTTTATAATAGACAAATGTTTTGTGATTAATACGAAAGAAATTCATTGAATTGTCAAGAATGTTTACAAATCAAATCAAATAAATAATTTCGAATATTCCATTTTTCCTGAACTATTTTATTTTACTCAAGAATATTGACATTGATATACAGAAGAAAAATAAAAGCAAAAATGAATAATTATGGAATTTATGTGACACAAGAAGAGAAGACAAAAAATCTGACGAACAGAAAAAGAAGAAGAAGAAGAAAAGATCTCGATATAATTATGACTTGTCTCTTCACAAAATTCTTTTAAATTAATACTGTATGATTTGATACAGTCAATCGTACACAATGATCATATTCATCAAGTTTAGCGCGCCAACCACGATTAAACCAAAATTTTGAATTAAATTTTGTACATGCTATATGTGGTGTCGATAACATAACTAATTGGCCAGGTGTATTCACAGATAAAAATGGTTTTGTTAAGGCGATTGTTAAATCAAGTTGATCTAATTGTATTAAAGATGTTTGAAATAAATTTTCCCATTTTTCTGCATCCATATATTCATGATGATTTAATAATAACCATAATGAACGTAATTGTTTTAATTCATGAAGTAACAATAATAAATAATCGAAACGTATTGAATCAATAACTAATTTAAGAGAATTAAGACGTAAAGAACACTTGGTATTAAGACTTCCACGTATTGTTTGTGTCCATAGATCAGCTAAAAAAATATATATGTTAAACTTCAAAGTAAAATACTTTTCTTATTAATTAAAAATTCTAGTATAATTGTTTCTACTTCAAAATCATACGCCGTACTGGCAATTTCTTTAAGAAAAAAATTAATTAATAAAATTCATGCTTTTTGCATGAACAGATGTAGAATAACATATAAATAAATTCTTAGGATAGAGAAATGATATTTTATCTTTGTTGAATCAGATATTCTTATAACTATAAAGACTCAGTAAATATTTATTAAAAAGAGGATAGATTAATAAAATCTCTATACAAATATTCTATTTCTTAGCATTAAAATTAATGTATTTTATTCGTTAGTTTTACCATCATTTATTCCACATATTGTTGCTTTTAATGTCGATAAACATGGTGAATATTGAAGTAAATGTGTTAATTCTTGCATTTGACACCAAACAATAGATAATTGTTCAATATTAGATAATTTTGTTATATGTTCAAATGTTGTACGAGCACACATATCCATTTTAACACGTTTTAGTTTTGGTCCAGTTAATAATTCATTACCAATATGAACAAAAGATGTCGTATCAACATCATTACTATCAACTGAAAAACGTATATTTACAAGATGAATAAGATGGACAAGTGCTGATTGAACAATTGAAACATCTGCAATTGTCATTTTAATAATTACTAATGTACGAAGATGTTTGAATAGACTTAAATCAATTGAATATTTATTTAAGAAGAGATTGACTTGTTGATACTGAAAAAAACAAAATAATAAATCATCGATATGTTTTTTTGTTTTGTTTTGAATCAAACCTCATCTGTATCATATGTTCCAAATGTAAATGAAATAAGACGATCGATAATTTGAGGAAGAATATTTTGAACATAGGAATGAAATTGTTTTGGATTGAGACTTGAGAGATTATCACGGAAACGCATACGAGAATCATTTAATATTGTATTGAAACGAATATTTAATCCATAAAATGTTTTATATAAATCACTAGGGGATAAACGATCGAATATTTCGAAAAAAACTTCATCAGAAAATGTTTCAATTTTTGAATGATTATATTTTTCCATTTGAATTTTATATTTACAAAATGATCTAAGAATGAAAAAGAAACTGATGTTTAAAATTCATATTTAATAAACTTACTAGAATCAATTTTGCGTAAATTAATGAGAATTAATCAGATAATAATTGATACGTATACCTGAACAAAGAGATGATTATATATTGATAGTCATAAATCGACGAATAAATAATTTTGTTTAAGATCATAATGTATGTACAAATAAACCGGGTATATTTAGCGGAGATATCATATTGTTTAAATTTTATTTTGTTTTTTATTTTATTTAACGAGAATCTATGAACAATTATAAATAATAAAATTAAAATAAGATTTTTTTTTTCTTCTTAATATGAACAAACGAATTAAAAAATAAGAAAAGTCTAGTTTTTGTGATAAATTCTAATTTAGTTAATTTCATTTGCTACGTAGATAATACTGGAGGTATCATTCTGCTTTTTTACAGGTCATTTCGTTAATCTTTTGAGATTTTTTCTATCTTATTTCTCTCCTGAAGATGGTGTTAGTTAACATCAGATTGATTGAGAAGCGTATATATAACTATCTCTACTATGAGATTTTTATGATATTCTTCTTAATCTTAATTTTTTGATAAATTTTATGTTACAATCATTGTAAAAATATGTGTAATCTAATTTTGTAACAATCCATTGTAAAATATACTTGAGATAAAACATTTTTTTTTCATCGAAAAGTGTCTTTCATAACAAATAAAGACGTAAGAATGATATATATGTTTGTATTTTTTAATCTGTAGAATTTATGAATACTACAGTCAAGTACATTTTCAGTGATTTATTCTATTATAATCGAAAGCATTTGAAGTAACAGTTTACCTTGATTATCAACAAATCATGCTTACATAATTTTAAATAGAAGTTAGAATTAAGTAAATTTTTATTCGGATTCAAATGTCTTCCTGATGAAGAATTAGATATCTTGAAAATCACTGATCTTTATAATTGGTTTCAATTTGCTCATCAACCAGAAAATCAAAAGCAATTTCTACGATTTTTTTTGTCAAAACATAATTATAGAGATCTAAGGGAAAGAGCGAAATTTCATTTTTTCAAATTGTCATCTCTGTGATATAAACGAGATCGAACAATTGAACTAAATAAGTTTTACTTTATTCATATTCATTCATTTCAGGTTTGCTCTTTTTCAATGTTTTCTTATAAAATTATACAGAGTTGTCAACATTAATTTTGTTAGTCTAAAATTCTTGTTTTGATGAAAAGGAAAAGGACTAGGTAATCACGATTAATTGGACGATTATCGTTTCGATTAATTGCCAATTTTATAGCAATTTGGAGGACAAGGGTTCTTGTTTTCTTTTGAAATCAAATGAAACGAACTCGCTGGATGTCATTAATGGTTAAGATAAAATAAATTATATAAAATCGATAATCAATATCAGAAAAATATGTACTTATTTTTACATACACTCTTTTACCTATTATTCGAGTTTATATATTCTTTATATTAGTTCTCAGTATCTGTACGAAGTAAACACAATACAAAAACTTCAAATACTTAATAGAAAATATATCTGATAAAATTATTTGTTATAGAAGTTCAAAGTTTTTTTAATGAGTAAGACAATCATGACTGTAATCTTTTCATATCAATGCTCATATGACTAATATACAAATAGAATTGACAGTTTACGTTGTTTATTCTAAATAGAATTTCATATAAAAACTTATATTTATCTTATCGTTTGTATGAATTAAAGGCCTTCAGATAGGTAAAAAAATATGACGTTGCTATAATTATTATCAAAAGAATGACGTTCTAATCTTTGTTATCTATTGATATAAATATTATATTAGAGAGAGAGATATAATTCTTATTGTACAACATTTGCAGTTAACATCAACATGGCTGTTGCACTTGCTTGGATACTTTGTCCGATTATTTTTGGTACTTGTTTTCTCAGTCAAACAATTTATTTTCTTTACAAGATATTCAAATCCAGAAACACTGATTACTCTGGAGACGTAGCTATCAGTACTATTCATATCTCAGAAGGTGAAGCGAAATGTTGTATGGGTTGGGCATGGACATCATGTATAGATAGAAGAACAAATCGTATGACATTGAAAGTATTTATTATATGGTATCTCGTTGCTTTATGTCTTGATATACTTTTAACGGTCGCCTTTTATTTTATTATTACTCATTATCATAATTATTCTGTTTAACTAAATCGATTAAATAAATAAATAAATAATAGTTAAATGACATTACTGTATTTTCTATTCAAAAAAATTGTTTTTGACATTTCAATAAAAGAATGTTTTTGCAAACTCTTTTTAAACTGATCTTACGCACGGTTGTTTTCTTGTCTCGTTATTTCTACCATTATTGTGACGTCATTGTATACGTATTCCATTTATATTCTGTTCTGTTTTGCTGTCATGCACGTATGCTCTTCTTTAGTAATATGATCGAGTATATTCGTTTTCGTATTCTCTCTTAAGTTCTCTTCACTTTGCTACTGTCTAGTAAATTCTTTCCACTTTTGTATTCTTGTAAATATATATCCGTTGTTTGGAATAGCAAACATTTCATGCAAGTGAATAAATAATATTTCTTTTTGACTAACTACTAATTAGTAGTCATCTATCATTACAAAGTTAAACAGATAAGAAGCACATTTTTATTTTATCATCATTTATATTTGTCAAGAATGTAAATGATTAAGCCTCACAACGTGCCAGAAGTATTGTCTAACCTAACATCAAATGAAGTATCCCGTACTTTATCATCTTCGATTAATCATGATGAAGAACATGTTGGATTAACTTTATATAAATATTTGGCGTCCGTTCTAGAAACTACTCCTCATATATTTTAAACATGATATAGGTCCATTTCAGAATGCAAAAGACATCTATTTTACATTTCAAACAGATAAGTGCCACGAAAAAAGTTGTTTTAATGGATCAATGATTCGGTATTTTTGGTGTCGACTAGAACTGTGCTTCACTATTTTTTTTGAACTATCATTACCACTAGAATGATTAATTTTGTTTTTTTATTCTTTATTTTGCTTTCGTTCGCTATATCTTTCAATTTTTTCTCGTTCAATGGAGAAACTAACCAATAATCTTCTGCTTTTTCCGTAATAAGTAACTATGAACAAAATCAGTTTAAAAAGAGCTTGCAAAAACATTCTTTTATTGAGATGTCAAAAACAATTTTTTCAGTAGAAAATACAGTAATGTTATTTTCACATAAACCTGCTGAGCTTGTTTCTCTGCAAAAAAGCAGTATGGAGATGAATCCTTTCAGAAATGCAGAATCTTCCCAAAAATCAAAAATTTCGTCCGCCGGAAAAAATTTCCCTAGTTAAATTTCGAAAAATTCCCCAGAATTTGAAAAACATTCTCCGAAAAATGCAGTTTTTAAAAAATTTCCTCTCCCGCGCGAGAGCGCACGAGGAAGATTCTGCGCTTACGAGAATGACGTTATGTTTTTGTTGTTTATGGATGTCAGTAGTATAGTAGAGAGACATATAATCCTTATTTTACTACTTTTCCAGTTAACAACAACATGGCTGCTGCTGCTCATTCTGCTTGGATAATATGTCCGATTTTTTTTGGTATTTGTTTTCTCAGTCAAACAATTTATTTTCTTTACAAAATACTCAAATCTAGACAAACTGACTACTCTGAAGAAACAGATATTACTACTATTGATATGTCAGCAAGTGAAGCAAGATGTTGTATGGGTTGGGTATGGACATCATGTATAGATAAAACAAGAAATCGTATAACATTGAAAGTATTTATTATATGGTATCTCGTTTCTTTATGCCTTGATATACTTCTAACAGTCATTTTTTATCTTCTGTTTGAAAATTATTCTCATATTTCTTTTTAACTAAATCGATTAAATAAATAAATGAATAATATTTTTCACACATGAAATATATTTTATCAGGATAAGTGAATATTAATAGTGGCAAAAAAAAGAAGCACAGAATCAAAATGAGAACTAGGGCTGTCATATTACCATTACCGGTAATAAGTAATCATTTTCAACGTTATTATTATTACTAGTAATTAGCAATAATTTTTGCAAAGTAATAAAATTGTGATAAGTAATATTTTTGTATTATTTATTACTGGTAATAAAGTAATAAAATTTAAAAGTTATAAAAGCATGTGTAATAAAGTTACAAGAAACTACTGTATATATCGCTAATAAGAAACAATAATATGTCTAGCGCTATTGAAACAAGAAAAACAATGTAAGTTGTGATATTAAATAAAAGGTAATAGTAATGTGACAGCCCTAATGAGAATGTCATCATTATGATGTAAGCGAGAGCGGACAATTGAAGTAGAGAGGTTTGACTTTATTCATATTCATTTAATTCAATTTCAAATACGTCTTTTATTTCATTTTTGCACTTGTTGAATGATTACACTAGTTTTGCTAGTCTAAAATTATTGTTTCAATGGAAGAGAAAAAGGACTAGGTAATCACGATTAATTGGACGATTATAGTTTCGATTAATTGCCAATTTTTTAGCAACTTGGAGGACAAGGGTTCTCGTTTTTTTTTGAAATCAAATAAAAAGAACTCCCTGGATGTCATTAATCGCCAGGAGAAAATAAATTATATAATATCGATAATCAATATCAGCAAAATATGTACTTATTTTTACATACACTCTTTTACCTATTATTCGAATTCATATATATTCTTTATATTAGTTCTCAGTATTTGTACGAAGTAAACACAATACAAAAAAAATATGAATACTTCATATAAAATATATTTTTTGATATATGACAAATATATCTGATAAAATGTTTTGTTATAGACAGTGTTTCTAATAGCATGTGTACCAAGCATTATCGAAATGTACAGAACACTTGCTCGTCTTGAAATACACGCTGCAGTACACTTGCCCCAAAAAGTAGAGTGTAGGATATACACTTTGTTTATGAGTGAAACTCGAATACCATCTAGTCGTTTTAATTATCTCGAAATTTAAAAAAGTTAAAACCATGTTTTTGAGACGCTTTCTGGAAAAGAATGATGTAAGTTCGATCTCGATATTTTATTATGGCGTTTAAACGAGTATTTTGTGATGTTTCATCGCTGAGATCATCGTAACATAAAATGACCACTTTGAATGCGTACGTCGAAAAAGAAAGAAAAGCAGAAAGAAAACTCGCCGAGGACTATATAAATGCTTCTGCTTCGCATCGTATTATAGAAAATAGAAAGAAAGCAAGAAATTTGCGTACGACTGCATAAATGCGTCTGTTTCGCATCGCATTAAAAACGTACTCGCCTGCGCGGAGGCGCACGAGAAAGTTTCTGCGCCTCTGAGAATGGCGTTCTATCTTTCTCATCTATCGATGTCAATAGTATATTAGAGAAACATATAATCCTTATTCTACTACTTTTCCAGTAAATATCAACATGAATGGTTCTGAAGCTTGGATAATTGCTGCGATTACTTGTGGTTTTGGTGTTTTCATTCAAACATGTTATTTTCTTGTCAAGATGATGGGAGTCGAACGAACTGACTACTATGAAGAAACAGATATTCGTACTGTTGATATGTCAAAATGTGAAGTAAAATATTGTATGGGTCGAATATGGACATCATGTTTAGATAAAGCAACAAATCGTATGTCAGCGAGAGTATTTATTATATGGTATCTCATTGGTTTATCCACTTTTACACTTATACCAGTCATTGTTTATCTTGCGTACAGGACTGACGCGACCAAAGGGGTGTGACACCTCCCCCCCAATCTTCGAAAATTTCTATTTTTTGCTCAACAAAATCAGCAAATCTTCCTAGGTTTTTCTTGAAGATAATGCTACACCACCTTCAAAAATTAAAAAATTTCGCTACATCCCCCAATGTTAGCTGACTCGCGCTACCCCTGCTTCTGATTGAATATAATTCTCATATTTCTGTTTAACTAAATCAATTGAATAAATAAATGAATAGTAGTTTTCACACATGAAATATATTTTATCAGAATAAATGAATATTAATAGTAGCAAAAAAAAGAAGCACAGAATCAAAATGAGAACTGTCATATAAGAAAAGAAAAAGAAAAGAAAAACATTTTGTCACTGTTGTATAAAAAAATGCTTAGAAATATTTTTCGTCAAATTTAATAATATTAGGATTCATCCTCAGCATTATTAATTATTACTACATCATCATTTATTATATTATTATATATTGAAGGTGATGGAATAATTGTTGAATATGTTGGTAATATAAGTTTATCATAAAATTGTTTATTAAAATCAATCAGTTCAACAATTTGTTGAAGAGGAACATTTTTCATTGATGTAGCTGTTATTGAATTATTATTATCACGATTAAATATAATTATATTAATACAAATAACATCAGGTATTTGAATAGGTATAGAAAAACGACATGTTATTGATGTATAATCAACATATTTTGATAAATTATTTGCATGTTTTGAATAATTTCCTTGATGATTAAAAAATCGATAAATACGGCCATGAAATTTTATACGACGTTTTTCACTAAAATAAGAAGAAAAAAACATTTTATTGAAAAAATTGATAAATTTTGTAACATACGAATAATTTGTTGATAAGTTCAGTATAGCTTCATTTGGATTAAGAATTTGTTGATCAAATGATGGCTGACTAATTGTAAATGATGCTAGAATAGAAATAGGATTAAATGAAAAACAAGAGTTGAATATATATTTAGCTTACTCTCAGGTAAATAAACACTAGTCACAACATCAAGATCGTCGTGTAAATTAGCTGAGTCGATCATATGTGCATATTTTGATAAAGTTATATGATCAACCTTGAAAAAATTGATAAAATTTCGATTTCAATTTTAGATTTAAATAAACATACTTTTAGACTGTAAAAAACATCAGTTTGTTCAAGTGGCGTTAAGAAATCACGACAAAATAAATCTTGAAGTAATTTACTTGTTAACCCTATAAAAAAACAATCATTCATACTATTAATAATTATTAGCAATTTTTTTGAAAAAAAGACGCTTTGGAGAACTGTTAATGAGAAGGTGATAGAGACCTACGATTGTCACCACCGGAAAGAGAAGATCAAGACATAGGAAGCGAAAATATTGCTAAATCTACATTCGAAAGAATCTCTATCACTTTTTTTTCAAAAAATCAATAATAGTAACTAATAATTACCGAACCAATCATTTGGTTCCAAATCAAGATCATTCCAAAATTTATCGGTTTCCTCTTTATTTAAATATGACAATATTCGTTTTGGATACCATTTTTCCACTAATTGTGTACCTTCGATAAGTACGGCCTATATCAAAGTAAACATACAATTCTATTCCTCTTTATTAATTAAGTTTAAATATTTACGGTTAAATCCGTTTCTGTTAATCGAATACGATCATGTTTAGCACCACGTTGTACTCGAAGTAAATTATCACGTCTATTAAAAAGAAAACTTTGAATTTAAGATATAAAACTATATATAAAATTACTTTTCAATTGTTGTTCTTAAATTTCTAATATGTTCATTAACAACATCATTCATTCGACCATAAACTGACTGACTACTTGTCATTTGAACTATTGCTGAAAATGGTTCGAATGCTGCATTAAAAAATCGTCTAAAAAACAATTTATTTTTATTTTATATTCTATTCAATTAAATATTAACAAACCGATATTCATCAACTGGTTTCATTAAGATTTGTTCAACATATGTACGATAAACTTGTAATTCTTTTTGTTCGATTAAAGATTCTAATGCTGCTAATACTTCCGGTGATGATACTTGATAGAAATATTCGGATGCTAAACCTGGACCAGCAATACGTCGTGCATGAAAACTATCATGTGCAGGAATTCGAGCAAAACGTTTGACAACTAATTGATAAATGACTGTATCATACATTCCACGTGTACACCGGTGTAAAAGAGCATCTTAAGAATTACAAATAAAATAATTATGAGTGTTTAAATTTGAAAAAAAGAATATTCTTACAAATGACAAGTAAAAGAGAAGCGATTGGACTAGCAATTAATGCAATTAATACTAATATTGGTTGTATAATACCACAACAAAGAAAATCAGTTATCACAATATTAATAAGACAAAAGAGTTTTCGACCATATTCACCTAAATTATAAAGATAAAATTAACGATCAAATAGAATTATTATTATTATTTGATAATACCAGCTGAATTTGCATCATAAAAAAGAATTTGAAGTATATGACATAATAATGTAACGATTGGCATCCTAAAGATAGATATAAATGATTAAAAAATTATCATGTTATATAACATACCAAATAGGTGATAAAACACCTAATATAAATGAAGCAGTTGGAACAATAAAACAAGCAGCAGGATAATAAGCACAAATAGCTATTGTGCCAACAAAACCTTTTGCTACATAATTCCACAATCGATTGAATATTCTTTGAATGTTCTTGCCCAAGAATCCTAAATTAATTAAGTTGTTATTAACAATTAGAAAAAAAATATTTAAATTTTTCTTTCATACCTCGATCAGGTTGTTGTTCAAATTTTTTTCTTGATTGTCTTACATGATCCCATAAAGCAACTAAACGCGAAATAAATGTTTGTGTTTTTGATTTTGAATGTGGATGAAGTTTTAACTAAAGAGAAAGAATCATCTTGATAAAATATCAAGTAATAATAGTTTCTTGTTTTTTCCTTACATCATTTCGATGTAATTCATAATCAGGTTGAAATGGTTTTATAGAAAATAGAGCACGAAAACTAACTGGACTACTAAATGGAACAGCAAGCTAGAAAGAAAATAAACAATTAATCAATTAAAATAATCTTTTGTTTTTCGTTCATACACATAATATAAAAATAGTATTTGAAAGCCAACAATATGTTCGAAGTGCAAATAATTTCCATCTCCAAAATGGATATCTCGTTGTTGTGGAATAGGTGACTTTACGTCGTAGAATATATTGCGCATCAGGCTAAAAATAAGTCGGGCAAAATGAAAAATAACAATGACTTTTTGGCAAAAATAAAAAATATTTATTTACATCAGAATGAATTAATCGAGTTCGTTGTTGTTCTTCTTCAGGTGAATATGTATATTTAGCAAAGTGGGTTGGAATTTGTCCGATAGGTAATGGGTATGTTCGTTCGACAATCCAATTTTCTGGAAGCAATAAAGAACAGATGTACTCTAAGGAGAAAAAAACAAAAAATAATTCCTACTTGGCAACCAGATTGTTCGACTACAATTAATTGTTCGAATAGGCTCGACGGGTGATTTGAGATTAAGACGAAGAATTGATTCATGCTAGAAAAAGATAATTTTCAAATGAAAATGATTATTATCATATTGTTTTTTTCCTCTTACATCTTTTCGAAAAGTTAAATCTCGTTGAATAAAATATGCTGCTTGTTGATTTCCTAATGCTTTACATTGATCAATTGATAATTGATGTGCATCCCATTCATGTTGATGAATATAATTGATTCGTTCTTCAAATAATTTTTGTTCTATCCAACGATTTATTTTGGATTTTATTGGATGTTCACGAATTAATTTTTCTCGTACCTATTTTTAATATAAAATAGATGCATTTGAAACTAAGAAAAATCTAAATTCAATACTGTTTTAAGATGTTTTTCTAAATCTTCAGTTAATTTTTGAACAACTGATCTCATTGTTAATATAGAACGAGCTTGTGCAACTAATAAACGTCCAAGACCAGGTGATAATTTTTCAATTTGATCAGAATTTTCAATTAATTCAAATGCTCGTTCAGCATATTCAACATTTAATTGTGTTTGAATACGTTTAGCTATTTCTTCTTTTGTTAAACCTAATTCGACTTGATTATCTAAGATAATGACAAAGAAAAAAATAAATAAATAATTGATTATGATAAGAAAAATTACCTTTATATTGATTGATTAATCGTCTTTTTGTAGTATTAAACCAATTTTTTGGTGTATTTTCAGTAAGAAGATTACTAACAATCGATCTTATTTTTTCTTGAAGATCACGATTATGCAATCGAAGATCAATATCAATATTATTTGGTGTTACAAAATGATGAGGATATGGAAGCATTGGTGGTGGACGTTTCTAAGAAAAACATACATTTTTAGTTGATTTATTATTTAGGATAAATCTTAGACAATACCTTATTTTCTCGATACAAATATTTCTTATGTTCAGTCATTACTTCTAATAAAATTGGTATTTGTGCACAGAATGCTTCATGCATTTCTTTTTCACTTTTCTAAATAAAAGAAATATTTAAATTTATAGACGAAAAACTAGTTTTCTTACATGTGGTGAAAGTTCCGTAACTAAGAATTTGCTTCGTTCATTTTCGACGTCTGAATCAATACTAGAAGAATAAACTGCAGGTAATCCAATAAGAGCATCTGAAATAAATAAAAATCATTTACAGATAAAAAAAGAGTAATAGAATGTAAACTAACCAACTAAACTAACAAAACCTTGTTTCCATGATCGTAAAGTTGCTTTAAAACTGAAACAATTCGAAAAAACACGATCTTGAGCAAATATTATTAACATATAAACTGCCCATGATAATTCCTAAACAAAAAACTCTATTATCGAAACAAAATCAAAACTAATAACAAACTTTAAAAAACACATGATTTGCTGTTAGAATACCCGATTGAAGTAATTTACTTAATCTCCATCGATGATGTTGACCAGGAAAATGAATACTATTAACTTCAAATTCTCTACATAAAAACAAAAATATGATTTCTTATTCGAAATGATATATTTCTATATACCCTGTTTGTTTAACTGCTTTAAGTTGTTCTTCATTTAATTTAATTGATGATCCATCTGGATTAGTTGATACAATTTCAAGTTCATTTAATGTTGGTGTTTGAAATAATGATTTAAATTCAATCTAAATCATATTGATTATTCAATATTTATATTTTAAAAAATATTAAATTTACTTTATTTGATTCACTCGTTATACCAGTTATCGATGGTGGCAACGATACTTCAAAAGATTTACATTCTTCAAGATTCTTTTCTGCTTTCTATAGAATAAAAATAAATATACATGCAAGTATACCCTGTTTTTCTTTTACATACCTCACGAATATAATCTTGAATATTAGCAATATCTATTGTAACTCCTTGTTTTGGAGTCTCAAAATGAACTGGACCAGTCTATTGATGAATTTGTAATAATAATCAAAACTAAATTTAATTACTTACTTGATATTTAGGCATATGTATAGACACATGTTCCGTTTGATTTGCCATTTGAAAGTTTGATCAATAAATATAAATATACATTATTCTTAAAGCAAAAAAAAAACGAAATCAAATATGATTCAACTGTTTTACTAAAGATGCGCACACATTCTTCGACTTATATAGAATTTCATTCTTGTTTCGTATGATTCATGTCAGTTAAGAAAAAAAGAGATTGAGTCAATAATGTATGAATTAAAAAAGAAAAACGACGACGACACGACAACGTTTTTTTCTATTTGAAGGACGAAGTAATGAGACATGGTAATAAGTACCTATGTCGTTACGTAGTGATTGAGTAATGACAAAATAGAAAACGAGCAAATAACTGAATTTTTTTTTCTCTTATTCTTTAGATGAAATCATTGACATAGGAGAAGCCATCAGACAAATGCCTCGATTATCGTTCAAGTATACTGAGAAAGAGTAGAATAGAACATTCTACAATACATTCTCACAACAATATGTTTCAGACTCGTCATCTAATTCTCATCACTTGGCTCCTCCTCATCTTTTTGTTAAATATATAAATGTATATATAACTATAAACAATAGTAGTAGAAGAAGAAAAAAAAACTTCATTTATCTTGACGTGTGTATGTGAAGCCGTCGTCAATCGGTGATGTGTGAAGTTGATGATGAGAAATGCGCGTGCTCTGAATATGCCATTCTCATTTTTTTTTCTCTTTCTCTTTTGTCTATTGAGTGACCGTGCTTAATCGACTGGTCGCTCGGGTCTACAATCGATAGACATACACAAAATAGCACTCAGACGACCGATGGAGATGGGAGAAAAAAAAAGAAGAAATGGATGGGAGCAAAAAAGATGAGGAAATATCATGAGGAATCTAATCAATAGACAGATTGCTTTCTTGATATGTATATATATTCTGTGTAGTACGAATCATTAGGTATTAATATTTGCCTTGTTTGATTGTCTGAACAGCTGTCCGATAGACATAAATAGTAGATATGACTATTACTTAAACAAGAATAACTTAATATTATAGTTTTTTTAGATAATATATATATATATCGATATATAATAGCATAAGTTTGCCAATAAATTTGAAAAATATTCATTGATTAATTATGTAATAGTATATTACTATTCTTCTAAAGAAATTAGAGATAATTTTTTGTTTTCTAAAAATATTTTGGTTTCTTTATAAAAGAAACAAATATCTCAAGATTAAATTCTTATCTTTCATGTATATTATTCTATGTACAGAGAAAGTTCAAGTGGTAATAACAAGTTTTAAATATAAACGACAACACATGGACACTTACAAACTTTATATAGAATAACCTTTTCGATCAATATAATTTATACTAATTGATTTGAATATATTTATTATCAATTCATTTACCTTGTATGTTAAATATTAAATATGAATTAAAGTAAATTTCCAATTGCAATTGATCAGCTTTACATTACTAAATAGAATGTGTCCAATATTTTGTACATAAAAGAAATCATTACAATGGCAACCATCTGGAAAAAGAATCTATAGTGAATAAACTTGGTGTCAAGAACCTTATAAACGTCAAAGGAAAAGGAAATAGTAACAAACAGAACAGGAAAAGAAAGAGGTCGATAGAAGTGAACCAAACATATGAACCCAAGGCAATAGGCGCATTTGATATGGAAGCTACGAACCAATCAAACAAAAAGTCCATAGTTTATGACATTCCAGAAGTTGCTCTTCTCTTCTATTCTCTCATATACATATCGATCGATAGGACATGTAAAAGAATAGTTCAATTTACATAAAATGTAGTGAAAGTATAACAACATTTCTCATCACGTTGACGGAAATGTGTACAAAATAACATTGTGAGTTTAAAAATCGAATGGATTATTCGAATTAGTCCAACTAGAATTTATTTCGATATTCATATTGAACATATATAACAAATATATTTTGTTTGTTCTTTATCAATCTTAATTCATACACGTTGTCGTTAAATTTAACTTATCAAATTGAGTTTGACGATCATACAATTCATGTACCACTATATTTCTCTGTCTCTCATATAGTTCAATATCTTGATCGTATATTTTCGTGATCTTATATACAAAAATAAGGTGGCTTACGGCTTGTATGTCAAGAAGTTGTTTTAATCGGACGTTAAGCACTCAGTCAGAATAAAAACTGAATTTTGTTGCCAAAATAATGATTGAGTCTGATGAAACATAGCCTGAAGATTTTTTATGAGTTAGTTAAGTACATATTTGTAAAAATGTATCGTTTCTATTCAGTTTATACTACGAACTATTGTCAAGAAGGTTACTGTTTCTATTTTATATTATGCAACATTCGTATATTTCCAAGTTGAGAAATACAGAGCAGTATCAAGATTGTAAACATCACGTTTACGTTCGTAAACGATCATGTATATCTAGTATATACATAGAAATTATTGTATTTTGTATCTAAAATAAAATTGACTGTTAAACTGATAATTATCGAATTTTTACAATTTTATTCTAAAACTGAACATACGGCGAGCGTATGCGGTGATATACGATCGCCATATATCTCTGTATAAGGAATAGACAAACAATCATTTAATCGCTTCCGTATTTTGACATGACCGCCGATATACTGATTGTATATGGAGAAAGCCGATGGCTTACAACTGTACATTCTCGATCTGAGATATATGCGGCTGCTTCTACGTGATAATAATAATGATGGGGGTTGTAGTCGTAATGGTGATAATGATAGTGATGTGAAGATGTGTTTATGTTATTTTTGATCATTTGACACCATATTGATTATAATACTAGTTGATCCTCTTTAAGATTATCTAAACGTCAATCATTTTGTTAAAACCCATCAAACAAAGTTTAATTAAAGTTTGCTTTCTTCGGTTGATTACACAGTAGAATACAATTGAAATAATATATTTCGACATTTACTGATGAACAGATGAAAAAGACGTATTTTTCCGATGATCACTAAATTGTCTTGATTGATCACATCAATCTCATGATAGATTATACAGCTTGTTTAAATCTCATTTGTATTAATACTAGTATTATCATCCTTAATTGAACCAAAAAAAAAAAGAACTACAATTCAAACAGTCGGAAGAATGAATATAGTAATTCTCTTCCGTCATGAGAGATACTAATTAACAGTCAATTGATTAAATAGAATATCTATCGAATTTCATCAGCTTGTCGGATTCTATTAGTTCCGGTATCGGATGTATTCTCCTAGGCAGTTCAAAATTATCATATTCTATCAATAAATCATACAAATAAAATCAAGAAAAAGTGAATATATCAGATATAGTACATATTAGATGGAAAAAGTTCAGCAGTACTTTTTTTAATGCGTTGTGACATTATAAATTAACAAGAAACATTTGCTAGATTAATATTATTATATACTTCTATTGAGAAAAAATGATTGTAATTTCTTTTGAATTTAATATAAGACATCGGCAAACAACTTTAAGAGAAGAAACGTTTCTGATGAAGTATCATAGTGAATTATAAAAGCAATAATGCTCAAGAGTGTTCGACATCAAGGTTAAAATCAAATTTCAAGATTGAAATCTCTACCGTTTTTGATTTGATCGACGTATAGTTTCCTTTATAATCTAAAAATTAATATTGCTTATTGTTAATATTAGCTCGTTGAGAAAATACATTAGATTTTTTATAATAATGTGTAACATGAATATATGTAAATTGTGATCTATAAAACTAAGCATAGAAACTTTGAATGATTACATTGAGCGGCAAATCCAAGTAATCACAACATACTATATAAGATAAAGCAAAGAGTCATCTAGATATACATCATTTACTTGATATTGCCTCGAAAAAATGAATGATAGCTGAATACCTTTGTTCTACATGACAAGAAAATAAAAGTTGTCTTGGTCTGGTACTGATATGAGATCTGTGATTTAAAGTTGTCAATGAAACACTTTTTTGATTTTTTCGTTACAGGTAACTAATTATATCACGTTATAAAAAAATAGAAATTAAACAATGTAGTTAAAATGACATTGAGAAGAACTTTGAAAGTACTAAATTATAAAATCGGATAAAGTGTATAGCATACATTCATTTTATAACATACGTATATTAGTAAACTAGCTACTTGAACTTACAAGAAATAGATGTCGTCATTATTTTACATCATCGAATTCCTTATTGAGGCACATCATTTGAAAAAAATTGGGGAAAATAATAAAGCGTGTTCTTCCTCTTTAGTTTGTATATTGTTCAGTTTAAAAATAAAATGCCTTCTTCATCAAATTCATTTTCACCGTTCTCAGTCAACCTTATACGTAATTGTATACCATCATTGCATTTATTTTCTACTTCTTCACGACAACCTACAACTGTAACACCTACTAAATGGCCTGCAGACCTTATAGAAGCAGTATGTATTGAAGCTTTTGGTCTCACCGCCCAGACTGAACGCGTAGGAAAATGGACAAATATAAAGTAATATTTGATATGTTGATTTCTTTTTTACAATCTACTTTGATGTTTTAGTGGTATTGAATCAAAGTAATCATTCAAACAACAGAATAAATATTAGTAAATTCATTCGTTTTTTGTATATAGATTAAGATTAGTTCTTTTTTGTTATTTTGTACTTGAAAAATAATAAAATGAAACATTACTATTAAATACAACAGCTATTGAGAGACATCATTATATGATTGAAATAACCGTATACTACAAAAGCAAGTTGTTATGAATATTGTTTTTATATTCTATGCTATATGCAAAAGAATGATTCCGAGTATTCATAACGATCTTAATTTAGATACGATGTTCTTTTCTATGTTAATGATCATTGCTATGATAGTGAAAACAACTACGGTAAAAAAAGAGAAGAAATATACAGATATTTTATGTTTTATATTTTATTAATGAGTAAAACGGAAAGATAGTTCTTTAAAATAATTATACTGTCAAATAAACGAGACTATAATAAAACCTTGATTACGTATAATATAAAACATATGTATTTCACTTATTGAAGTAATTTTGCATAATTCAAGAAGTAGTGAATATATGATTAAATACAACGCTATAAATATTTATCAATCTTTTCGACAAGAGAATTAGATTATATATATTCTGATGGAAACGGGCAATATTCATCAACGGAAATAACTCTTAACGATTGTGTATCACTTTTCAATGCACTTGTTTAGAAACATACTCTTTAAAAAGATCTATAGGCGTAAATTCAATATACTAGGTAGTCAGAAAGATACTATCGATAAGAAATAAAATGAGCTTGTTGAATCACATTACTTAGAAAACGATTGAAAGAGGATATTTTCACAGGAACTGATTAATTTTCTTCTTGTTAAATACGAAAGAGAGCGATAGCTTATCTTTTATGTAATTTTGTACTTTCTAATATTAAGGTACAGATATCTCCATGTACGAATAATATATTTGAAACTATTTATAAATGCGATAGTCACAATTTAAGGGTATATTCTGTATAAAATAGACTCATTTTTTGATAAATAATCTCAATATTATTCATAAATTTATGTACATAATTATTAAATTAATCGAAACCATATATGCAGAAATACAGTTTATATAAACTATAATAGAAATATTTCTTCAGACAAAAACAAAACAAAGAAATGTAATAAAAAAAACGCTATTACAGTTAAATAGATATATATTTATATATATATATATATATAAACAAGAGAAAGCTAAAAATTCATATGTTTTATTTGTTTATTTTGGTTTATGTTAGTGTATTTGATATCGATGATGACACCGAAATCGATAATTGAGATTGTGATCGAATTGAATTTGAAGTTAAAAGCGGTGGAGGAATATTCTTCATATTAAAAAATAATAAGCGTTTAGCACGATTTTGTGTTTCACTTAATGTAACTAATGTCCATGTAGTTTGATCAAGTATAACAGACCATGGTCGTTCAACATTTAAAATTTTTTTTGCTTGTGTATGTTCATTACGTTTTATTTGCCATATACATGATGCATTATAATCAGCAACTAACCATCCACCGAAATGATCTGCACTTACTTTAAATCCAGTTACTTCAATTTGTTTTAATAAATTTAATTGATAATCAAATATAATTAAAGCAACATCACATAAAATAGCTAAATGTTCTGTAAGATCATCAGCTTCAATATCCCATATTGTTGATGATTCAAGTATATGTTTACCCATAGATTTTAATTTATAATCATAACGTTCAAGTAAAAATTGTGGACGTTCTTTTTGTGTTGAGGTATAATAAAATGATGTATTTGATGAAGATGTTATAGAAGTTGGTGGAATTTTATGTGTATGAAAGATTGATGATTGACATGATGTAATACGTTTTGGCCAATCGCCAGTGATATCAATTGATTGAAAAATTTTACTGAATGAACGATTGCAAATAATCTATAACAAGGAAAAAAAAGAATTTATTTTCATTTTAATATTATAAATATTTTACAATTTGTGTTTGTGTTGCAACTATCCAATGATTTGTTGATTTTGACCAAGATATATCAATAATGCCATCGTATGGCCAAGGAAAACATAAAAGTGAAGTATCTGGTTTATACATAATAAATTGTTTATTAAGTTGATGATAAAGACATAGATGATGATTGCCATCAATTTCAAGAAAACGCCAAAATTCATTACCTAAATTGACTGTACGTGAATAAGCAAAATCAAGTTGTTCAAATAATGAACTATATTCATTTTTTGATATATATTCATATAGATCAAGTGCTTTTGTATTTGAATTTAATTGTTTATTTCCACGAGAATCTAATAAATAAAAATCATTTTTTGTTTTGTTTAAATAATTCATATTCTTACTAGAATCACTAATTGCAATTGATGTAACACCAGGTGTATTTATTGTTGGTCTCCAACCATTTTCTAATAAATTTGTCCAATGATCTTTATCGATATCGAACCATGTTTCATTTAACATATTTTCTTTATGTCCATTTTGATAATCTTGTGTTCGTTTTAATTGTAATTGTTTATCTTGTGTATCTTCACTTGAACGACGAAATGATAAACGAGGATTATTATGATGTTTTTGTGATTCCGATCGATGTGTTGTTGATTGTTTTAATTTTGTTGTTGGTGGACATCCATATATTTGATTATCAACAGCTTGTATTTGATGTGGTTCAAGTGTTCTTGAACGATAACGTCGATCACGTGTATTATTCATAGTTTGATCATTTTCATGAATACTATTTGCTGCTTTATCATATAATTCAACTATATCTCGATCTGTTGTTGGAGGAGAAGTTGTTGTTGTTGTTATAGCTACGACTCGTTCAATTGGAATACTAACAGACTCACGTGATAGTAATGTATGACGAGTTTCACTTGTTTTTTTCCTAGGTGGTTTCATTGTATTTACTGATGATTTAATTGTTAATGGAGTTGATTGAATAGTATGAATACCATTTGGTAATGAACGATTTGAAATAGTTGCTGATTTTTGGTGAGATTCTGATACTGTTTCTATATTATCAAGACCATTTGATGATGTTGATGGCGGTGGCATTGATTCAACAGATTGCTAAAAATTTATAAAAAATAAAAATATTTATTATTTATTTAAATCAAACCTGTTGTGAATGATTATCATATTTTGTTCGTAAATTTTTCCGTATTTCACGTAAACGTTGAAAACGTCGAATAGAATCATCAAACGATTCAAATGCAAATAATTTATGATTATTATTATTATCTACTCCATTGGTCTCATTTTGTTCATTTGTACTTGTTGAAACATTTTGTAATTGTTTTTGTTGTATAGGAATATTTGTTATTGTTCGTGTATATCGTCGTTGTGGACCTTCAGTTTGTGAACCTGGTTTTTGTTGACTGGTTTTACTTGTTGTTTTAGCTGTTGGTTGTTTTGATTTCATATCATATAAATGCTCAGCATGATCAAGTGATTGTAAAGCTGATAACTACAATAAAAAAAAACACAAAATGATGATAATTATTCTTAACTATACTGATAATTATTTCATTCATTCTTTGGTCGAGACACTACGCCCATTTTGAATTAACATTGTTTTGATTCTAATCGATACGAACATTTTTTTTTAACCTATACAATTATATAATCATCTTTACTATTGATATGATCGCAATTGATCGATCTATTGAAAATAGCATTTTGAATATACAAAGGTCAATATAGAAATAAAAACTGATATGATAACATCCTCCCCATCACCGAATCATTCATTCATATATTACAAACTAACCTTGACTTTCGAGACTGAATTTGTTTGATGTGCATCAAATTTCTTTTTCTTCTTTTTTGTTAATAATACTTTAGGTTTTGGTAGTATGAAACCATACTTCATCTACATAAATTTTAATGAACAATTTTCAATAATCGAGAGATAAATTACATCAAAATGAAAGTAAGAACGAAAAATTCAAATCACCTTAATCAACTAAGGATATCTTGATATATATATACATATGTCAAATACTTTGATCTACTTATCAAAAATTTCAAAAGATAATAACACTAATCGAATTTTTATGGTCTTATAACATAAAATATGATCTTTAAAAAGCAATGACTATAACTATATAAAAGAAAAAAACAAAATTTCCCCCTTCCATTATTCAAATAAATCATAATATTATATAGAAATAATATACAATCAATCATAGATGCATATACCCATATAATACTTCAAATGAATAGCTTACCATCATACGCTATTTACAAAAAAAAAAAATAAAGAAAATAAATTTTTGGATATATATATATGCATAATAAAAGAATCTTATTCTCATCATCAAAAGATAAGTGCACTTATTGTGCCATAGAAAAAACTTTCGAATCGAATAATATTTAAACTGTATACGTATATATATATAAAATGCAATGACTTTGTTATTTATTTATTCTATTTTTATTACTCAAGTATCTAGAACGAAATCTATCCTCATTACCCTCTTTCATACAAAAAAAAAATATTTTATTTCAATATCTTACTTCATCGGCTGATAATGATGATGATGGACGTTGTGGACTTGTACATATTTCAAGTACACGTTTTAATTCCGAACCGAGATCATTATTTTCATATGTTTTATTTGTTGCACTTTTCGATGGTAAACTTCCACTATAACGTGATGTACTAGCTAATTTTGCTGGTATAATATCATCACATAGTAATTCATCGGTATCATAATCAATTGTAGTACCAGCTAAGATAAATTTTGATTGTTCTAATTCTTCACGAATTGATCTTAAATTTGTTGATATACGATCAATTTCACTTTTATTTTGATAATCTAATGGTTCACTTTGCCAACGTCGTTGTTGATTCGCTTTTTTTCGTTCGATTTTTTCAACAAATAATTGTGTATCAAATTCAAGACGTTCAAATTTATCTAATAGAGTTTTTTCAAGTTCACGTTGTCGAGCAAGAAGACGTTTAATCGTCGCTTCTCGCCAATGTTTTAATTTTTTAACAGCACGCGTACGAAGTGTAGGTAAATCATTAAGCATTGAACGGAGTTTATGGACAAGCTCTTCATTAGCATATTGTTGTCGAATAGTCATTATGATAATAATCTTCTTCGTAAAAATATGATAGATATAAATACTTGTTCTTTCGATATATATTTTACCTATCCGTTTATTGTCTCATTTTAATAAGAGAAGAAAACGAAAGAAATAACGAAGAAGAAGAAGAAGAAGAAACTAAAGATGATGCGATTGCTTTCGATTATATGATGATGACTAGAAAAAAAAACATACATTGACAACGTAATATATGTAAACAATGTTAAGCGAATATGTACATTAAACGATCGAGTCAAATTAACATCACTAGCGTATATTTAACTGTTTATTATTACACATACTTTCTTCATAGGAAAAAAAAGAAGTATACATGATTTTATCCAGGTCGATACTTACCGATAATAACTAGACGGAACAATGCTATCATCAACAAATAACTACGTCAAGAATGAAATACGATCTCGTATGCTGTCGAGTGCTTGCTAAAAGGTGCAAACTAGTCAGTCTTTCTAGCTGTCTATTTTATTTAATTTTTTTAAGAGCAGAAGAAAGGTAGAGAATGCTAGAAAACAAATCTCGTTTTCTCTCTTCCCTTTTTTTCTTTTCTATGTCTCTTTCTCTCTCTTCTCTTCTCTCTCTCTCTCTGTATGTTCTAGATGTGTGGCGTAAGCTGTATCTCGCCCTCGAAGAAGAACAACAACAAATATACCATCATCACTACCACTTGTCGTTAGTATCGGCATTTTCTTCTTCCCCATTTTCTCCTCTTTTTTTTTGGCGACTTGGAGCGAGCACACTTACGAAAAGAGAAACTTATATGTATACATGTAGGTGTAAAAAAAAATAAGAGTTTTTTTTTTTTCTTTGACCTAATCGAGTAAAGAAACTATCCAGGGGCCTTCTTCTTCCTCTTCTTTCCTCTTACGAATCAGATAAGACATACGTACACAAACATATGCATATGAAAGGTAAAATTCGTGTATGTGTTTATAACCTTTGAAGGCGCTCGAAAATGTAAATTAGCATGACGAATAGTTTTTAATGAATAGTTCTGTTATTTCGTTTCGCTGTTCGTTTTTTCTCAATGGCATACATATACAAAATTCATAGATAACCAAGGCTGAAGTTTCAATATAGAACTATCTTTGAGAAAAAATCAGCAGTTGTTTTGGGCGACGACTACGATAACAACAACAGTACCACCAACATTTATTGATTTATTCTCATAGACATTTTTTTTCTCTCTCTTATACTGTCAAGTTTAGAATAGAAACTAGTTAAAAAGTGTTTTGACTTTTAGACAAAACATTGATATATATATATGTACATACATACATATGCACCAATAAAATATAGAGCTGATAAAAATTGTAAGGCATCATCAATGTTAAAAAAAAAAGGAGAAAAAAAAAGTTTGATGCAGCGGTTCACTTACCGCAACGGTACGCGAAAAACCCTCAAGGTAAATCAAATTTTGGTTATAACTACACAAATGAAATTTTGTGGTTAAAAAAAATAATATCATTTAAAAAAAATCTCCAATGAGAAAGAGACCCTATTAGGTTTGTCCTTCCTTTCATTCAATAAAAAAAAAAAACCGAAGAAAACAATACACACATGTGATGTCATACTATACAAGACTTGAGGATAATTTATTTCACTTCGTCATCAGTCAAGTCTTTTTTTTTTCTCTCCTTCTCGTTCTTTCTTTGTGCGTTTCTGTAAGAGTGTATATATATATATATATATATTATATATATACTGGTTTGTGGCTTCCACACATTTGGTGTTGAGATTGTAAAAAACACAATGTGTTTTATTTTATACTCTTTCATTTTGTCGTCCGGCAGCTGGAAGAAACGAGAGCATTGTAAAAAGTTGGATCTCAACACGACGCATTTATTCTCTCGGCAACATATTTCATTAAAAGTAGTATAAAAAAGAAAAAAGGAAAAAAAAAGGAGAAGCAAATGTAGCAGTTGGCATACATATATACATTTGAGAAGGCACCTATACACAAAGAATAATTGTATTTTATTTTATATACATTATTGAACTGTATATAATTAGTCAACGAATAGAGAAAAAGAAAAAAATCGACGAAAAGAGGAGAAGCTTTCTTTTGACAATTTTCGGTCAAAAGTTCGATCGAATTTGTTGTCAGTCGCCACTTTTGATTGCATCATATATCAATCTATTTAACTATTGAACCTTTTTGTATGTGTTCAAATAGGCAATAAAACGAGCATAAAATAAAGAATAATGGTGGTACCAAGTTCACCTCATACACAGATTGAGTGTCAACGATGACAAGTTCTCTTGCATCTAATTGAAATTTGATGCCTACGCACATTTACAAGGTGGAGGAAAAATGAGAATATGTAAAACAAGTGAAAAACAGTCAATGTTTGCGTATTCACAACCTCGAATTTCGCGGTCGGACAACGATACAGACATGATCAAACAGTTTTAATTCTTTTAGAAAATTGTCCCTGTAATTCACGGTCACCTGTCGAGCTTTAGAGTATCAAATAAGATCATAGATTCTTACGGATGAAATATGAATCATATCATTATATATATATATATCAATGGTTTGAATAAACGTTGTTTTTATTTTCTTTACAAGAACATGTCATAAGAAAAAAAGCGAAGTTCAGACATGCAGAAAAAGAAAACGAAAAGGGATTATAAATAATTATATTCCTCTCCTTAAAAAAATGAAAAGAAATACACCATCAAACGAATACTATTAATAAAACATGTATTTAAACAAATAAAAAAATACGAACACCTAACGATAAGCCATTAAAATGAGATTCAACAGACAGAGAGAGAAAAAAAATATATATACATATATTTGAGATATGTAAAACAAAATGTTTAATTCATTATAATTTATTATCATTTAAATCATTCTCCTGTAAATGTTCCTTGATTGTATTATCTTCATAATTCTTTGTTAATAATTGACCTTCATGTTCTATACCATCAATAAGTATACTTTCAGGTTTTCCTCTTCGAAAACTAAATATATAAATAAATAAAGATGAAAAACAAATATAATTATTTGATCTATTTACCCAATTGAAATCATTCGTTCCACATCTGCATAAGTTTGTGGTAATGGTTTATTTAATGTTTCAGGAAACATTAAAGCTAAAAATGCAGCTATAAGCGAAACAATACCATAAAGAAGTATAGGTAAATGTATCCAAATACGAGTCTATATTGAAAAGAAAAAAACTAAAACGAAATTAATATAACAAAAACTTACTAATGAACCATTACAAAATGTTCCTATTATAGCTCCAATACGTGCAACCATTGAACATATTCCCATACATGTATTTCGTACATTAGTTGGAAAAAGTTCATTAGCATAAATATATATAATAGCATAAGATGCCGATGCAAGAAACTTTAATGAAACATTAATTATAATCATTAAAGCTGACTGAGCTAAAAAAAACCAAAAAAAAATAAATATTATTTTATTTATAAAATAAACCTGTGCTATTTGCTGTCAATAAATATTGTACCGGTAAAACAAGTATTGCAACAATACCAAAGAGTAGAACAAATAAACAGTAAGGTATTTTACGACCAACACGATCAAGTATTAAATGTACTAAAACATAGGCAAGTAGTTCGACAAATGCACTAACAGTAAATGATAAATATGGATCTAAATCCCATGAACCTTAAAAATATTAAATAATTATAATATTAATTATTTCAATTAATTCGTACCAGTATTTTGTGAAACACCATAAAATACTAAATTTTGAACAAGCCTAAATGAAATAAACAAATTTTTAAATAAAATAAACTTCCCCTATTTATTAATACCATTGAAAAAAAAGGTTCATACTAAGAATAAACATAATTTTTGATTTAACTAAACCCATTACACCTTCTTGATTATGTTTATCCAACATATTCTAAACAAAAAAACATAAATTTTCATTTTAGGAATAAAATTTTTGAACGAACTTTTTCTTGTTCATCTTTAACTTGTTGATAAGCATCTCGATCAAAATTTCGTTTATTATCGACTGCAATACGTCGTAAAATCTTTTCTGCTTCATCAAATCGGCCTTTACTAATAAGCCATCGAGGACTTTCAGGTAAAACACTTAAGACAAATTCATTGATTTATATTAATTCGCTTCAATGAATATTTTTACACTTACAAATAGAAGAATATAAATGGTACAGTAAATAATGATATAGCTCCTGTTAATGCTCGCCATGTACGAATAAAGTATGCAAACGATACGAGAAAAAGTTGGCCAAATGCAAAAAAATATTCAATAACAATTCCAGTTAATAAACGTTTACTTGGTCCAACTAAAATGAGGATTTATCAAAAAAAAACAACAACATTCAATTTTACCTATTTCTGAACCAAGAACAAAACCAGATACGGAAATTCCTCGTGTTGAACATGCTAATAGAAACCGTGCGATAATAAATATAATATACGATGGAAGAACTCCATATGCTTTTTGAGGACCATATGCGCATAAAAATCCGGATATACTCATTAAAATAAAACTAACACTCATTATAGGACGACGACCGTATCTAATCATAAGATTAAATTATTTTATTTGATATTAATTAACAAAAATGTTTTACTTGTCAGCTAAGGCTCCAAAGAATATTGAACCAACCATATACCCAATAAAAAATACTATTTGTACTATTGATCGATAATCAGAACGATCACAAACCATTGTCCACTATTAGAAAGAATATTTAATCAAAAAAAAGAGAACGATTTTTTAGTCTTACTTCTTCAACTAATGTTCGTTTATAATGTTTTCTGTCATAAACATATTCATTACATTTTTTCAATGAGATTTTATCAGTATCATTTGATTGTATATAACAACGTTGACATTCACTTAATGCAAGATTTTTTTCAGTACCTTCACATTGTTCTTTTGTTGGTTGAAAATTTGCTTTGAAAATATTATTATTTAATTGATTATATTCATCTTGTGTTATATTATCTGGATTTACACAACGAAATTTTGGTGTTGCAGCTGTAAATGTATATGTATATACCATTATTGATGGGAGCATATACGTTAGACAAATAAGTGTATATTTCACCTTTTGAAATTTACCCCAATCATCAACTGTCGCAAGAAATGTATCGAATTTCATTGTGAATCAACTGGAATTGGAATTGATTTTTTTGTAATTATCTATAAATAAACAACTTAGAATAAATAAATTAAAGAGAGTAAAAGCGGTAAAAATATTCTTCTTTTTGTTTCATATAATATGGAATGACTCAATAGAATATTCCGACTAGTGTGTACATAGAATTACGCATATATAGAAGAGCAATCTAACCAACAAAAAATAATAATAAGTAACTTTTACAATATTTTGATATTGAAATCGGAAAAAGAAAGAGACAATGTTTTGCGAAGATGAAATATATGCAGAATACAACTAATAGATAAAAATGCGACGTAAGAAATAACATAATGGATAATTTACTGCAGATCACAGGGAATAACATATTAGTCAATAAAATATAAGAGAAAAACAAAATTTAATCAACCATAGGGATCAAATTTTGGACTAGGAGGTGGAGAACCTGGATCTCCTAAATCAAGTAAATCAGTTGGTATGTCATTGAATTTATTATTATTATTCGAATGTAAATTAAGATGTTCTAATGTCAATGGTCGTTGAATAGCATTATTAGTAAAAGGAACAGCAGTAGCAACAGTAGGGCGAGGTACTGGTGGTGGTGGTCGACTAGGCACAAATTGAGCTGGTTGTTGTTGTTGATAAGAAAATGGATTTTGAGTATAATTTGCTGAAGATGTAGAAGACGCAGTTAAGGGTGAATCATTTTGACGAGTTGGTGCAACAGCAGTATTGAATGGATCGATATAAAAATTCGAACTAGTTGATGGTGGTTTATCATCAAATGAAAATAGACTATCAGTATCTACTGAATATACATTAAAGTAATATTATTTCTATAGAAAAATAAATAAAACATACCTGTATTAGAAGTATTTGATGTTGATTTGGCAGAAAAATGAAATGGATCAAAAGCATTTTCATTAAATAATGTCTAAAAATTCAGTTAACTATTTAATCTATTTGTAATAGTACTTTATTTCTTACATTATTGCTACTAGATAAAGAGTTACTTGAAATACTGTGATGTCCGGAATCAAATGAAATTAATTCACTAACTGGACTTCGTCGAGGATCTTCACCTATCTCATTTATATTCGGCGGTACCAATTCATCATTAACAACTAAAAAAATAAGAAAAGAAAAACTTTTTTTTAAATTATTGTAAAAATAAAAATTTTAATATGCAAGAATATTATAAGTTTATTTAAAAAAGAGAATCGTTCGATTTTTGTTAAAGTTCATCATTATCAGTACTATCATTGCTGACTACTTCTGTTTGTTCTTTCTTAGTAATTATATAATTTGGTTGTTTTTTAGTTCGTTTCAATGAATTGTGAAATTTATTTCTAACTCTATACAATCTTGGTTTCGATCTTCGTCTATGTTCATTCGTTGTTATTGGCGAAACCGGATGTTGAGGATCTAATGATAGGAAAGATATAGATTTAGGCACATCTTCCATCATATTTGTTAAATAGCTAGATGGTTCTTCAGTATATTTTCTTTGAAGTTTTTCATGTTTTAATGAATGTTTAATTTCTTTTGTTTGAATATTTCCATAATTAATTGGTATTCCATGTTTTTTCATATGTGTTTGTCTTAATTTTTTATAACGATATTTTGGTCGTGTACTAAATCGTTCTTTTAAATAGAGTTTTACAGGTCCTAAACCATGGTCGTTTATCTCAGAGCTATCTGATGAAACACTATCTGTTTCATCAGAATCATTAAGACTAATATTTTCAGGACTACATTGTTGTTGTTGTTCAAATGTTTGTCGAACATTGTTAGTCAATTGAAAACTTTCAAGCTCTTCTTCTTTTTGTTGTTCATATTCATCATTTTTAAGAATTTCAGATGATGAATTTGTCAATGATTCGTCATTAGGAACTAGAAGAGTAGAATAAAGACGATCGATTTTGTATCATCAAGCGAAAGGGTTTTTCATGCGATTTATGTTAAAATTATGTTGCTTATATAAGCATAATTTTTATTTGTATTAATAGATTTCTTGATAGCCGTGCCAAAATTATCTTTTTTTATTTCTGTTATCTTACTGCCAGTTAAATACAATGGATCAAAAGTTGTTATATGTAATAGAGGAGATATATTGTTGATCGAATTTAATATTATCATATCGGATAGAGTTCGAGCTAGAGATTTCAGAAAATGTTCAATAAATGCCAAAGAGCAAAAGAAACGTAAAAAAAAACAAAGCAATTTTCTTACCGACAGGTATTGTAACATCTTGAGCTGATGAAAGTGATTCATGAGCTGGTTGTTGATAGTTACCAAGTTCACTAGAATGCATATTATCAATAAGATGTAAGAAGAAACAGATGTATTTACGTACTAAGCAGTAGATTCTGGATACATTGTTTCATCTGCATCAGCAAAAAGTAGATTTAATTTTAGAGCTAAATCAATATCTTCATTTAAATTTAATAAACGTTTACTAAAGTAAACTCCACTAGGAAGCTAAAATAAAATATTTTATTAAAGAATCGATCGGACGTATATTTACTTGATCTTCTATTGGTTCCATAACTTTCCGAGCATATGCTCCATTTTCAAAGAACATATGTAATGAAAGACATCTTGGATTTGATGTAAAACTAAAATTAATCAAAATTCTAAGTTTAATAAGAAAGAAGAAAATTTGTTTTTTCATACAATCTATCAATAATTGGTATATCTAATCCATATTTTCTTTTCACATATGAATCAAATTCTTCAATTAATTGATTTTTTTTATGACTTAATTCAGGACGCATATCATAAATAATAACTGCATTTGATGGTGCAAATCTTTTATATATATTGACATATTCTTGATGCATTCTTATTTCATCACATTTCTCAATTTCAACATCAAACATTGAACCTACAGGACGATGGTCAGATGTTTTCACTTCAGCACGTCCATAATATAATTGTTTTGTTCGAACATCAGGAAGTATACTACGCCAAAGTATACGATCTGTATATGATGGTGTACGAGCTTTCTCACTTGTATCGTATACATCAGAACCAACATCATATTTATAAGTTGGAGGAAAGGTTATTTGACCTTCAGTAAATTCTCGAAAGACCTTTTTAAAATAAAAATGAATTATTTCGAAAAAGAAGAAAAAAATAAAAACAGACTCGTCCTTCGCCATATTCAGTTTTTAATTGATCATATTCGAGTAATTTTTTATAACTTTCACTTCGAACTAAACTTTCAACTTGTGTACGTGAAATTGTTAACCGATAATTAAAATCACCAAGGAAAAATATATGATCATGCCATAAAGCTCGTGATGGCTACATATTAATTTAAATTATGAATAGACAAAAAAAAAATGAATAAATCAATTATTTACTGGTTGAAAAGAAAGTTTTTCCAGAATTGTTTTATAATCTTTATTACGTTCATTGGATTCATTTTGTCCAGCTGTAAAATGAGCACAAATAAAACAGATTGAAGTATTATGTAAAACTAGACGAATAGCAACCTAAAGAAGACAAAAATGGTGTACTAGAAAAACGTATCAATCGATTATATGGTAACAGATGAAGGTAATTAATATAGCAGATTTTAGTTAAAAAAGAGTGTATTCTTGTGTAGCTAATGTTTCGAAAAAAACACATAAACGAGACAAAAAAGCTAAAAATAAAAAAACCACATCAATGCTGTTGCCCGAAAAATCATTAATATGTAGTAACTACGATTTTATCACTAATAACATAGCATCTTATATATAATTCTAATTCGCAATTACGAATAAACTTTAAGCTTATACAATCAGACCAGAAATTTTCCCAAAAATGCTTATGAATATTTCACATTTGACTATTTGTTAGAGAGCTATTCAATATCTAACATCATTAACTAGTTTTTCTAGTAGTATCAGAAATAGTTTTAGTTAAAAATAGCAACAATAATTTCAAAACACTTTAAAAAATCTGTGTAGTCTTCTAGAATGAAAGTCACATTAACTCTTTCTTTTTTAATGATGCCTATAAACGCCGTTATCCAAATGCTTCTTTTTTGTATCAAAGTGGAGCACTCAGATACACGCAGCATATTAAAACAAAGACCAAATAAACTGTAGGAACAAAAATTTTGATTTCAGACTTTAACCATGGGAAAGATAGGACTAATGTTCGATGAGTATAAACAATCTTCGTATATGACTCTCATCAGTTACGGAGTAAATACTTACACATCCTTTATTGCCTAACTTGCCACCCATTCCAGTTTTAACTGAGTCAACAGCAATATTTCTATAATAAAATAAAAACTATTATTAATAAAAAATACGAAATTTTTCCGAATATACTTGACAAATGGTGCAAGATCTCGTCGAATAAATACTGCTAAACAAACTCCAACAAGCTGATCATGACCCAGTAGAATATATTCATCATTAGGATACGCTTGTTTAAAATGTTTTTGCACGTTATTAACCCAACGATTTGCATTAGCAGAACTAATTCAATTATTTTATTATTGCTTTTTTTTCAACAAAAAATTCTTTACCTTTGCCAAACCATATTCGTTGCTGTTAGATCACAGATTTCTTGAAATCCAATTGCTAATATACTTGGCATAGTTTTTGTATAATCACTAGCTACCTCTCCTTAAAAAAACGAATAGTTTATTTTAAAAAATATCTCTGTTTTTCAATAAACTAACCTATTGTAGGAATGCTATTTTTTTTTCTTGTTTTTGATGATATATTTTCTGGTCCATCAAGAATCCAAGCGTCAAGTATTGATGGAAAAATACTTTGGACTAACTCTGGATCTTTATCTCCATTAATATTCCATGTACCAGTTGATATACGAATTTCTTCTTTTTTAATATAATTTCGGCGAATTCTAAACATTTCACTTAAAATAATACCATCAGCTAAAAAAGAAACAATTATTTAGTTATTTAAAAGATTTGAAACTCTATAAAAAAAAGATTAATTTACATATAACATAAGGTGTTAAAAGTGCAGCAACCGAACGTTCATGTAAATAGGAATCTTTTGCATATGTATAAATTAATGTTTGCATTGATTGTTGTTTTTCATCATCACGTAAATTATTTTGTATTGCACGACCAACACTACGTTGAATATCTTTTGCCTAGAAATAATCAATACGATTATACAAATCTTTAATTATTCAAAATATAAAAAGAAAAAGGTAATTATCACGAGAGTAGAATTTTATAGGATTAGTTTTGTACTGAATCATGGTTAAATAAATCGCGAAAGACAGTTAAATAAAAAGCCTGAATACTCACCCAGAAATTTGTCTATTCCAATAGAACATATTTTGCTGATGATTAAATATAAGTCCTCATTTATCTGTATTCTATTGCATGTATTAACTCGAATCCTATTTGTAAAATAATCTTCTATCATGATGTCATTCTCTGCTATTTATACTTATATAATAATCAAATAACACATGTATTACTCTTGCACGTAATATATGAGAGTTGAATAGGTCATAAGAAACATTAAGCATATGTTTACACTGGAGAGATAATAATAACAACAGAGCTTACAAAAAGAATTTTATATCAAAGTATTTCCAGACGAAAAAAATTCTTTTATCTGATCTAACAGAATTCATTAGTATAGGATTTTTACAATACAATAATTTATTTAGGAAAAAAGAATTAAATCTTACTATACTCCTTTGTCCTAATGCACCAGTACCAGTATAAATTCTACTAATATGATCTCCATTATTAATCCACACGTCTTTTAATTGATCAAATAAACTATTTGAATTAATATTTTTTTTTAAACTTTCTAATTGCATAGATAAAACACTTAAACCAATTGTTAATTGTACATTATTTGTTCTATCAAGACAATCAATACAATTAATACGAAAAATTCCTTGTTGTAAACTTTGTGTTGTATTATCAACATATGTAAATGTACTTTGCTGTTGTAATGCTTGTTCAATTGAATATTGCGCATTTTGAATTAACATTTGTCGAACAAATTGTTCAGGTGTAAAATTTTTAATTGTACGTGATTGTCCATGATAATCAAACCAAATAAAATCTCGTTCATTTAAATGACCAAGACATGGTTTTTGATTTTGTTGGACTTGTTTATATGTTTTAACAAGTAAATTAAATAAATTTTGATATTCTTCTCCAATACGTTTCTCATTTTCACTTTTTTCAATTAAATTTATTATCAATACACGACCATAATGACGATAGAGATGTTTAAAATGTCTGTTACAAAAGAGTTTTCTTATGTTTTATTTAAATAGAAAAAAAAATTGAACTTACTCAAAAAAAGCTTTAAAACTAAGAACTTCACTACGTGGTATTGTTATACGATGAGTACCAACCTAAATATTTAAATGAATTATTCAATTCAAGAAATCGAAATTTTGTCTTACCTGATAGCGTGGTTGATGCCAAAAGAGTGGAATGGAACCACGAACAATAACAAATGAAGAATAACTACTTTGTCGTGGAAGAAGAACAATCTAGAAATTTTATTAAAATAAATCAAATTTTCATCTATTTGTTATTTCTACTTGTTCTGTTTCAACAAAATTTGCTACAGCACCATCATCATTAACACCACGAACATTAAATCTAGTACCAGCTCGTTCACAACTTAATCTAATAATCAAAATACCAAGACAAGAAAACGAAATTAAAATATTTTATTTACCTTGATATTAACCATAGATCAATATCACCAGTTTGATGTTTTTCAATTCCACCACATAGTAGTTTTGGTATCCAATAACGAATATCAATATTATATTTTAAGAATGGTAAACACAAACCACGATTCCTAAGAAAATAAATATATATTTCAGTTAAGTTCAATAGCAGAGAAAACACAAACCAAAAAAATCGTATATCAGAATCTTGTCCTTGTACCATTCTTTGAGCACATAATGTTATATCATAAGGTTTATTAAAATAGCGTTTATTATTACTAGTTTCAGGTTTACAAGCTGCGGAATAATAAAAACATCTTCCTTGGAATAATTTTCTAAATTTAATCGATAAATTAATGATCCGAATAATACATTTCAATTTTATTACTTTATTCCAGCAACATGAACTTCATCTTCTGGATTATCTCGTAAAGAAATAGTTGCAATTTGTGAAATACCTTAAAATAAAAATTCTAAAATCAAACCATAATTTTAGTTCTTATCTTCATACGATATATTTGAGCATCAAATAATTGTCCTATATATATATCTTCAGTTACAAAAATCATATATGGACGACTGATACCAGCAGCTACAAATATTAATAATAATGAAAAAATTTCTTCGTTTCATAATTCAATACTAACTATTAGCAGAGGTACTATTTGTAGAACTATTAAGTACCAATACACCAAGAAATGCTTTACAACGAAGAAGTAATGTATACGGATTATTGGATTGTCCATTAATTCCTTCGAAGAAGAAAAAAAAGAAAAGTTGTTTTTTTAATCATATCATTAGAAATTCCCTTAGGAAGAAAAATAAATGATACCCGATGACAAATGTGTTACGTTAGGGTATATGAATCATCTATTTATTTGACAGTCTTTCTTAATGATTCATCTATTATGATTATATAATTGATTAACGCCCTATTATTCGGTTACTACGACTATTAAATATATTATACTAAATTGCCTTTTGGATTTACTTTTTTGATTTTAATAAATAAATCAATGCATATTTATTCTAATAATGTATAGATAGATATGCGAACGAAACGTCAACAATGATAGAATAATAATGAATTCAAATAAAGATCATTAGCATTAATATAGTCCGTGGAAAATAAATTTCGTCTATCTATTATTTATTCAGTTTTTTTTACAAATATTAAAAAAGAATAAATTTATTCTCATTATATTATTTAACTCACGATCAATGAAATCTTTTTGATACTTTATAATTAATCAAACTTACGAACAGTTTGTTGTTCAGAATTATAGAATTTTGATGATGTTGATGATGATGATATCGATGATGCTAATGGTACTTTGTCTGGTGATAAATCTTCATTACTCACTTGACTTATTGTAAATGGAAGTGTATATGAATCAACGGTATTCTTTTGTTGTTGGGGTTGATATCGTAAATAAAGTACATCCGAGCGACCTGGTGATGATGAAGATGCTTGATGTTCTAGTTGAATATAAAATGATCCATAGATTTGAGTTGAGTCATATGAATGTGATGTTTGAATAGGCTCTGCTTTTCGATAAAGTATTACATTCCACTTGGAAACTGGAGATGCTGCTGGTAAAGTTGGTCGAGTAGGTCCAGTGGGTGGTGCATTAGGAAACATTTTAATTTCTTCTTTTAATAATTATTAAAAAGAAAATAAATTGTATTAAAATATCTCTTAATTTGCTTCGTTCTTTCTATATGTCTTTAATAAAATATAAATCAAATACTATTCTCATATTCTGGATTGGTTTTATTTTTAAACCAATCATAAAACTTTCAAACTGATCTTTTATTTATTAAAGAAACACACATCATGTTTTGTTTTTTTTCTCAAACGGTTAGATTAATAAACTCAAAATAAATTGCGCAATTGATGAAATTAAAAATTAAACTATTTATTATTACCTTTTTTTAGTTTATTTCATTTTAGAACAATTCATTATGTCATATAATGCAAATGAGGCAAATTCGCATGGGAGCGAGAATTATACAGAACGACAAAAAATGAGTTCATTCCGACCAGTAATGGTAAATAAAATTTTATTTACTTTTTTTGTTTTATTATGTTTTAATATTTTATTAGAATCCTCAGTATCAACAACCAATACTATTACCAACAGGAGAACAAATGTTTTATGATCAATTTCAATCTTTACAATTGGCACAACAACAACAACAACAACAACAACAATATTATCCTGAACAAATGGGTCCACCATTACCACTCAATGCAAATATGCCAATGATGCAACAATATTATCCTCACCCACCACCTCCACAATTTCAACAACAACAAGATATGAATTATCCTCAATATTACTATCAACCTTATCAAGAAGCTGCTCCTGAACCGATGATTCATCCATCACTAATGTCAACAATAGCTATGCGAGTAAGTCTCAACAAATTTTCTTCGCTATTCTTAATGATTCTAACAAAATAACTATCGCAAAACAAATACAATCATCAAGATAACATATAAAACATTAGAAATAGTATTGTAAAAACAGGAAATATCATGAGCGACTAAATAAAAACAAAGGTAAAGAGAAAGAAATACTAATGATCACCATAAAATCAAATAAATAATGATTAAGTAACTAGATGAAGATTTGAACAAATACATCCTCATCTATAAAGGCAATAAATCAAATATGATGACATCTTGTTATCTGAAATAATTCATACTTACACAATGTAATTCAAGTAAATGATCTCTATTCAGAAGTGTAGCAGTGATTATAATTTATTTGTTAAAAATTTAACACGAAAAAGAAACGTTAAAATACATCAAACTTTACATGTTTACTATCAAATTTTATTCTAGGGTGATGCTTCAGAATTTATTCCTGCATATAACAATACAACTATAAAGGAAACAAAACCAAATGTTGATCATTCATCAATCACCGTAGTCAATGACTCTCAAACAAAAACAACTGTTACTCATCCAATAATTTTAAGAACTAATTCGGAAATTAAAGAAACAAAAGATTCATTTATATATGATTTAAAGAAATATAAATACAATTATTTTCTATCTAAACTTACATGTACATTCGATCGTGATTATGCAAAATTTAGTTCACCAACTGGTATTTCTGCATTAAATGATGATCGTTTATTAGTTGCAAATTTCGATAATGATACAGTTTTACTTCTTGATCTTAATGGCGTTGTTCATCAAATCTATAGAGATATACCAACACCAAAAGATGTTCGATATCATCCAACAAATTCATCCCAAGCTATTGTAGCTACGAAAAAAGAAGTTATTCTTTTAGATTTAGAAACAAGTAAAGTTGTTAAACGAAGTAAAATGCGAGGATTTTATCCATGGAATATTCAATATTTACAAGAATCAGATGTTATTGCAGGTATATTTCAGAATTAATTTATAGAGAAAAATAAAATTTATTTAATTCATTATAGCGTGTGATCCATCGTCTGAAAGTATTCTTTTTCTTGATAACGAGTTAACTCAAATAGGCGGATGGTCATTTAATGAACCAGTTCAACCATCTTCGTCATCATCAAGACCTTATCAAAAAGTTTATCCCTATGCAGCTTATTTTGCATCTGACAATACATCATTTATATTAGCACATCGTGAAGAAAAATGCCAACTAGTAGAAAAGGATACTGCCAGTGGAGAAACAAAAGAATCTCGGATAGTACTTCCAGATTTTATATCCTATTCAATTTTTGTTGATAGTGCAAAACAATGTTTAATGCCCGATAAGAAAAATCGTCGTTTAGTTTCGATTGATAAGAATTCAAAAGTTGAGGAATACAAACATAAAACAATTCAAGAGCCACATGCATTAACATTTTTATCAACTGGAACATTGTGTGTTACTGATTGGACGAAATCATATGGAAGTCGAGGTGGTATAGCTATTCTTAGTGAAACTGATTTGAATATAAATCAATAGAGAATATCTAATGAATGTTGACAATTTTCTTTTTAGTTTAGAATTCAAAGTCATTTAATTATTTAAAGACAAGAATTTTTTTTTATTTAATCTCATTTGTCGTTGTTGTTCCTTTTTTTTGTCAATTTTAACTAGTGTATGTTGAATATTTTCATTTGTTTACTGTGATTCTGTGATGCTTATTTTTGTTATTTCTTTTTTTTTTAAATAATTGATGTATTTTTTTTTTGTTTGATTTTTATTTAAACCATCACCCGTATAGAAAAAAAAAAGAACAAATTAGCATATGAAATGTTGAAAAAAAAACCAAGTGCACCAGTTATAAAAAAATAGTGTCAAAATAGATAACCGTAAAGAGAAAGGGATTATTTCCTCTTTTCAAGGTTGAAAAAAAAAGAAGATTTTGAAAACTTATTACTCAAGGGAGAGGCCAAGACGTTGAAGAATTACGTTAACATCTTCTTGAGCTAAAGTTAAAATGATAAATGTTTAAATTAAATATATAAAATAGTTCTATGACTTACGGTCAACCCAATAGATTTCACCTTGTTGGTTGTTATTTGCTGTTTGAGTTTCCACGATAGTAGTTTCAGGAACAGTAGTATATTCATATTCTGGTTCCCATCCTGTTTGTGAACCACTCAAGTAGTATTGGATATTATTGTCAGTTTGATATTGTTGAATGAAACTAGCTGATGGTGGACCCTAGAAAAAAAATGAAGTAAAAATAATAATTATAGATATTTATTAAAAATGACATACAAGATCTTCATTAACGCCAATTTGTTGTGCTTGAGCAACTAATGTTGAAGCATCTAATAATGTGTGACCATATCGGCTAACATATTCTTGAGGATTTTGTGCTTGAACACCAAGTCTGCGTACTGAACGTACAACATTGACTTGTGGTGCTTCATAAGCAATAATTGTATTGCGTGGTTGAGGATATGCACGTGGTGGTGGAGCTCGGTGAGTTATTACCTTACGTTTTTGAGGTTCTTTTGAATATGGTACCCAACGTTCAATGATAATATCACGAGGTCGTGCAGGTGTTGCTGGATAACGTTCAACAACAATGGATCGAGGTGGAACAGGGGCAGCTGGTAATTTCTTGATGACAGTTTGAGTTGGAATTGGAGCAGGAGGATGTGGTGGTCGTTCTCGAAGGACAAGTGGAGAAGGTGTTGGAAGAGGTGGTGCACGTTGTCGAATGACAAGTGGTGGTGGAGGTGGTAGCTGTTTTAAAGCGAAAAAAAAGTGTTTATAAACAATTTCATGATCAAATTAGTATTTACCTGTGGTGGACGAACTTCTTTGATAACCAATGGCTGTCAAATTAGAAAAGAATATGAATATAATAATCATTAAAATTGTTTTAAACTTACTCCTGGTGGTGGAACTGGTGGTGGTTGAAGAAAACGTACTGATATATTTTGTTGATAGGTTAATGGACCTTGTGCTGGTGGTCGTCGGATAATTTGAGGACCATTAGGATCTCGGTAAAGTTCACCACTGAAATTTGCTGCTGATGCTGCTGAAGCAGATGGTTCTTCAATGACAAAATTGTTTGCATTGTTTGATTCAATTATTTGATATTGTGGATAAACTTTTGATGAGGATGATAATGATTGAACAATTTGATTAGCAGTAGCTGCATCCACTTCTTCGATTTTGACACCGTTCGAATCAGACGAATCAATTACACTTGTATTACCAACATCAACGAAACTTGTTGTTGCATATTGATCTTGACCAATAACTGTAAATGCAGAATTTGATGGAAATTGTGAATTTGTTAATGCATCAGCTTTTTGTAAAAGTGATTGAATAACATAATTGCCGTTGATTGAACCAGAATCCATAACGATAATATTTCGCTGTTGTATTGAAACGAAAAATTATTGATCAAGAATATTGAAACGTTTGATAAAATCAATACTAAAAATCATCAGTATTTATACGTTGTTGTATAACAATTACTATCACATTAGAATCAATCAAAAGATCAGAATGCAATCAACCGAAAAAAAATAGTATCAATTACCGCAGAAAAAAAAACCACAAACACAACAAGAGACTCTGTTGGTAAACAAGATGCTAATTAGCAAACATATATTTTAATAGTTTTCATTGTATAGTTTTAGTGATAATTAGATCTGCATAAATATAAATGTTTATATTTTTACAAATCACGGTTGACTAAAATCATCAGATCAAAATGCTAATTAATTTCAATAAACAATCATTCATATTCAATCTATTGAACTAGTAATATCAATATATATTATCATGTTTTGTTGTTTATCTTAAAAACAATCCAATACAATATGATTATTGAACAATATTATTCTAGTTGACAGTAATTACGCAGTATGATATCTATGTCAAAAATTAATTAGAGCCACGTATTCTAATGTGAATTTAATGACAACAAAGAGAATAAACATCAAGTAATTATTCAGAGAAAAAAAACACGATGACAATACCATCGAATTGCTGATTGTAGTAAAACACATAAAATCACCTTGAAAGTTTGAAGAAAACATGAAAACATATTATTTCTAATTAAAACTATTTCATCTTTCGTATATCATGAAATATAAATAATATTGTTTTTATTTATGATAGAATAATCATCACTATACTAATCAAAATTCTAAACTAAACACACACGCATGCACATTCTGTTATCGACCATATTGTTCATACGATAGAAAAATTTCGATTAATTTAATGTGAACAGAATGTTTTTAAGAAAGCCGTATCATCTATACGAAAAAAAAGAAAGATTAATAGAAAGAATAGATATTGTAATTTACCTTTTTCTAAACCTAAACATGTACCCCATTCATCTGGTGATATTTTATTATCATTATCTGTATCACAATGATCCAAAAATGGTTGAATACAATGTTCAAGTACTTTAAGTGATCGAACAAAACGAGCTAATTCTTCATTATTGACTGAACTGTAAATATAATTTATTTTAATTTGAAGAAAAAAACAATCTATATATTCAATATTACTTATCATGTGTTTGATCAAGTTCACAAAATTCCCAGAGTACAGCATTACGCCACCATTTTTCTGTATTTGATAATTTCATTTTACGTGCTTCATCGACTAATACTGCATATTTATTATCAAGATCTTTACGAACAAACTAAATAAATTAATCAAAATAAAATTATTCTATAAACGAAATTTTCTTTTAAACAAACTAATGCATCGAGAATTTCTCCAAGCCATGATGACATTCGTTTTGGAAAAACTTCCAATTCAAATTCAGTACAAATACCAAGATCTAAATAATAATAAAAATAAAAATTCTATCGTAATTGTTTTTCCTTACTTTGACATCGTCCAAAATAATCAATTGAATCTGTAAGTGCTTCTTTACGTGTACATTTTTCATCATTTTTACGACACCAACATTGCATTTGATAGAATTCACAATCAGATGTATATGTATTATTTGCTTTTGTGCATACCTAAATTAATAAATAATTTTAAGATAAAATAAATATTTTTTATTTTACCATTAAACGTTCATCTTTTGGATCTTCACATTGTGTAATACAAGCACATTCAGCATCACCATCTTTATTTAATACGCATAGTTCAGCATCACGACATTTTGTACTTGCACATCGATCTATATTATATTAAAAATATTTTCTTAAATGCAAAAACAAGAAAAATCAATTTAATTTACCTTCAAAATCATTAATCGGTTTTTCTTCGTCGACTTTCAAAACATCATTTTCTACATCTTTTATTTCAGATTCTGTCTATAATAAATCAAAAAAAAACTAACATTAATTATATATTAAGATAACACTACCTTGACGCGTCAATTCTAATATTTTCCATTCAAAGAAAACCCTAGCTACACGTACATTATTATCTTTCCTTTGTACTCAATAGGATAAGTATACACAACTCAAGTGTGATATCATGTTCTCATATCGAATTGTAATTGCAACTCTTGTTGTTGTTATAAATGATGTAATCATATATATATATACAGTAGAAAATAATTCGTTTGAACATTGATTATCACTTATTATATAAACAACAATCATCTCAAAAGAACAGTGTTGAAATACAAATAAATATTATATTAGTATTCATGTTGTTTGATAACTACCGAAGAATGGGTTCGACATATATTTAATTACTATTTTAACTAGAAAAGAAGTCACTATTATATGAAGATCTTCTTTTTATTTTTACAGACATAATAATATTAATGCTGTGTAATATGTAGAAAAATATGTTTAGCATGTGATTAGTTATTGTTTTTTTTGTCGAGGACAAACATATTTATCATTATAGTTCTTATGTATTGTAAAACAACACATAGATTTCAATAACGTCTGTATGTCTTAATGTATTTCACATATCTATATATGAGAATAAGTTAATGATTTGCAATACATCAACAAAACCCAAAATATATGCTAATGATAGTTTACGATATAATAAAAAAAGTATCTGTAGAATTATTTTGAAGACCAGAATGAATTTACTTACTCTAATGAACAATAATTGTTGACATAGAACGATAGTAATTAAAAGTAAAATATTTAATCTTGATGCCATGAGGATTTTGTATTATCAATGGATTGGTTGTATGTAAGATTTGTTAGATGTATGTATATAGTATTACAGAAACTAAAGAATGACTGAATAGTAGAAAATATTTCCTAAGGAATTCTTTTTCTCGCTCTCTCTCTCTCTTGTCTTTTTCTCATCATCAGTAGGAGAACATCGTAGGGAAAAATAAATAGGAATAAGGATATTGATTATCATCCTCGCATCAATATAATATCTTCTTTCTTGTGATTACGTGAAAGGAATTTACTAGTAAATGATCTATGTACAATTAAAGTAGATAGATGAACAAGCCAATTAAATAATAGATATAACTCTTGTGCATTGAACAAGAAAGACACATAGTATCAAATTGTTTGATTACAAGAATAGATATGCTTGAAAAATTGATAGTAGAGGAGAAGAAGAAAAAACTAATTACAGGACATTATCTTATCCTTGCATTTGAGGTCATATTTATGTTATATATCAAAAGTATTGTATACTGAACAACTAATGATCTACAAGTTTTTATTAAGATATAATTGAAAACGTACACTACCACGTTGGGCAATTTTATCATAAAATATATTTGCACCGAATATACGACATTCAATAGAAATTAAAACATGAGCTGTTATATTTAGAAATTGTACCCATACATATGGTGCTTGATAGATATCATTTCGATTTACTTTACCACTAGAAAAAAAAATTTCTAATAAAACTCTAAATTATAAACAATAGAATATTTACTTATAAGGAAAATGTTTGACATCAATTGAACCACATACATCACTCAAACCTGATTCACTATAGTAGAGAATATTACCAAGCATATCGTCATCGAATGGATTCTGTTTTAAATACTTATGTATATATAGATTTATTTGGAAATTTCGAACAAACCTCGCCTCTACATTGAACTGGAATATTCGATATATTCGTACATGCTTCTTCATTTTTATCATCTAAATCTGTTCGACCAATCTCTGGTATAAAACCGACAATCTGAGAATTTTTATTTTACATATGATTTGTATTGAAAAGAAAAAACAAACAAACTTTGTTTATTTTTATTAAAAAACATGGTTTACCATCCCTAAAACCATATTGATTATTTGAATTACAATCACCTACGTTATTAATAATGAAATTATTCGAATTCGATGTATTATAATCTAATATTATATACAAGAAAAAACAAATTGTCTATATTTATAATTAATCGCTTACAAATATTTAGAAAATCATCAAGATTTTTCGTATAAATTTCAATATCATCATCATCTTTATTAGTAATCGATCTCTTTCCATGTCTTTTACTAGTATATGATAAACTTATAAATGTCTGTGCATCATTTGGATCAAATCTAGGTTGAGGACGAAAACCTAGTCCTGAAAAAACAAACATGTAGAATTCTTATTCGATCTTCTAACAACGAATCAACCTGGTGAAAGTCGATGAGCACGAGATGTTAAACAACTATATTTTCCTATATATCTCGGTTGATTCAATGGTAATGACGACATATAAATAGATAAATATAAACAAAAGAAACCAGCAAGTGTAATATAAAAGAAAAAATAGAAAGCAGCTAATTTGCCTATGATAAAAATTTGAAAGAAGTAATAAAATTGAAAAAAAAAGAAAACTTTTTCATACTCCATCGTTTTCCATGACGTCCAAATATTTCATGATGTTCTGGGTTATAAATAAATTTACTCAATGTACGAATAGATTTATCTATATTTAACCAAAAATCTTGACACCATTCACCAATCGAACGGCCATGTTTAGACTTTGTTTCTGAATGCATTGAATCGATTTAATTAGATTTCAGTTGAATGATTAAATAAATCATGTCTAGTCTTAGAATATATCGACATTTCTAAACTGTTCAAGATTTTGACCATTGTCATAGAGTCAAAATTATTATACAGACTCTCTGAGCAACAATCAAAACGTAGAGACAGTTTGATGAACAAACTAAAATAAAAGGAATGATCATCATTTGTATTTATATATATATATCATCCTGGATGCAATTAAAGCAAAAAAAAACTCATTGTTATATTTGTTCGCTGATGGTAACAACTGCTGCACGGACTTTAACACTCAATTGATGACGAAGAAAATGAGTATGTGATATTTTTTTTGTTGAAGAAAGAGGAGGAGCACAATCATCGTTGACGGTGATGGGTGGTCACAGATGGAATTATTCTATTGATACAAGCAAAAAAAAAAGAAGAAAAAGAAAGACAAAGTATATATGCACGGCTGATGCAAAGAATGATGATAATGATTATTGAAACTCATTTGATTATGCATACTTTTCAATTGTATCTTAACTATCATCGACCTAGAATATACAAATGCAATATGAAAAACGAAAAACGTTTATCGATAAACAATCATAGAAAATGTATTTTAAGTTTAACAGATTTATTTATTACTACTTTGAAGTTTAACTCGTAATTAGATGATTATTTTTTCTTTGACATTGTTTATGTCGTCGCTTAATTTATTGGCCTATAAATGCATGAAGGGTAATTGACTTATCTGGCAATGGTATGTCTATCCAGCTGGTAAAATAATAAAAAAAAAAAAACGAGGAGGAAAATGTAATTTCTTGATATTTACTGAAGCACAGATTGTAATATATACTAATATTCACGAATAAAAACTAAATTCTTCATTAGTCAAATCTGACATTGAAGGAAACAAAGATATTAGACATAATTATATTGTTGATTTGACCTTGTTACAATACACAATAGACAATTTTTATCTTCTATGTTCATTAGTTGTATGTTTTTTATAAGAAGTTGACAAGGCTGATGTACATCTGAGGAAATAATTCTATCATTTATCATCGGCTGATCTATACAAGTTGAACAAAACTATATATGTATATGTTGTTGTTTGGATAGAGTAAGATGAGAAAATATTCTAGATGTTGCTTTCAAGTTGAAGATATGATTATGATTTTTAATAATCAATTTTACTTATTCAAAACAATAACATTAAAAACAAAACAAAAAAAAAGATTTTTGTTAAGTGTATTCATCATCACTATTGTTGAAAACGATCTTTGTTGCTTGTGATTTTTGTATACGATATTGTGATTTGGCATTTTTACTTGCTTCCCATGATGGATGAAGAGAAGTATTATCAGATTTTTGATTATTTGTTGAATCTATTTAAGACAAAAAAGAACAAAATGAAAATAAATATTTCAATAATTTATATACCGTTTGATTTTCTATTATTTGGCATTGATGAATTATTTGATGGACGTGAACGAACTGGAGGTGTTAAATGTGTCCATTTTTTTCTTGCAAGATCTCCACCACCATCTCGTCGATTTGATGATGATGAAAGTGCATCGATAAAATATGATTGTTCGATAAAACGTTTATCATCAACATTATTATCATTTTCATTTCGACTTGTTCTTTTCTGATAAGTTATTTGATGTTGACTGTTTATAAAAAATGGATCATTAATAACTACAGATGTTTCTGATGCTAATGCTGTAAGAGATTTTTGTTCTGTATCCATTTTTTCAGGTACATCAACTACTTTTTCTTCTTTTTCTTCTTCTTCGCCTTCATCTTCACGGATAGGTTTTCCAAATGGTTTAGCTGTTTTATTGGCTAAATCAAGTACACAAACAACAGCTTGTTTTGAACGTGCTACACGAGGTTTTTTAATTTTTTCAGTTTTTTTCTTTTTAATTTTCAATGGTTTCGGTAAGTTTTGTTCAATAGTGTCTAATTCTTTTTGTTGGTCAACAAGAGCTTGTTCAATTTTTTCAAAATCTTGAGATTTTTCTTTCCATGCTATACGTTTTTCATGCCGTGATTGATACATAATAAATAATGGTTGCCATGATTTTGCATAATCTTCATGATTTTTTAAAGATACAACATCGGATTGAAGTGATTTTTCTGTTGCTAAACGGATTAATGCAAGTTGGCTAATATCATCACTACCTGGCTAAAAAATATAATAGAAATTTCTAATTAAATTAAATATAGATGATATTCATATGTATTTGTCCTTCTGATATTTGATATCATACATATATATGTATTTAGATTCGACCTTCAATTATGTAGTATTATTTTGAAAGAATTTTAAATTTCATTTAACTGTATATTTTATCATACATAAACATATCATTACATTTTACCATAGTTATATAAGAAGTATGCTAAGTAACTATTCAAAGTATTTATATTCAATTGTCAAGGATACAAGGTCTTCATTTTTGTAAATATATCGTTAACTAGACATGTACCGAGTTTTCAATATTCATTTGGTCTGGAATGTATACATAATAGTATGTAAAATTTAAACTACTGTAAAACTAAATGTTCATACGGCATTCAAAATTTGAAGTTCTCATTCTATAATATTTATTTTCGATTCTATTTAATCATTTTCTTCTACTTTCATTCTGAAAACGCTGGATGATTATATTTTGCTTACTTTGCATTTTTGCAGAACTTCAGCAATAGTTCCTTCATTTTGCATTGCAAATAATACCACATCTTTATTTGGTAGTTTCTAAATGATTTGAATGAAAATTTATTTTATCAAAAAAAAATTTTGTTACTCGAATTTGATGAATTTCGTCGATTATTCTTTTAACTTTTTTTATCGTACGTTCATCATCTGGAGTTCTAATTAGGAAAAAAATTTAGTATTTGTTTTCAAAAAAATTAGTTTATCATACTTTTTTCGTTCATGTTCAATTTGACGAGTTAATTTTCGAATAATTCGAACTTTACTTCGTTTAACTGCTTTTTCTAATTCTATAACTTTATTATTAAATGAACTTAAACTCATCTAAAACAAAACAATCAAATGATTTTTTTTGTTTATTTTAACGAAACAAAACGAATAAACAAAAAACGAAATTTTATTTCTTTCTTGGAACAACTTTTGTTTTTTTCTTCTCATTAGCTTTTTCATTTTCATCATCCGACCAAAAATCATCATCTTTTTTATCATTTTGTTTCGGATTCTAGAAATTAAAACGACAATTATTTTTATTAAAATAAATCAATTTTACTTTAAGTAACAGCTTATCTTCCATAGCTAATTCAACTTGTTGTAATTTCTTTTCACGATCAATTCGTTTTTGTAATTCAGTATATTTTTTCTTTCGTTGTTTTTGAAATTTCTAAAAAAACAAAAATTTTTATTTGTAAGAAAAATAATTTAATAAAATACATTGATTTGTTCGTCATCACAATTTAATTTCATTGATTTTAACTGTTCAATTGTTAAACGATTTGATCGACGATTAATTAATGACGGATGTGTTCGCATTTGTTTGACTGGATCAAATTTTTCAACTAAATTTTATTAGATTTAGACTATAGTTTACGAGTAAAAATGAATATTAACCTTGTTTTTGTGAATCAACAAAAAAAATATGTGAAGTTGATGGACGAAATTCTGTATCGATTAAATGTGATGATGATTGTAATTTATCGATTTTTTTTCTTTCCATTTGATGTTTATATTTTATATATTTTAAATCTTGTGTTTGCATTAATTTCAATTGATCATCACTATATTCTTTATATTTCTTCTTTAAACTATGAACACCACCCTATATACAGAAAAACTCCTTATAAATGTTTGATTTCAGTAACGCAAAGACTATATACTTTTAATTTCGTATTGACCATATTGAAATAATATTCTTCTGGATTTTTATCCAACGCTTTTTTCTTAAGTTCGCGTATAACATTTCCTTTTGTTTGATAATCACTAAATAGAAATAAATTTTCAATAAATAAAATACGATTTTTTTGATAATTACATTGCGCGTTCTTTATAATCCTTCTTCTTTTCAAGTAAACCTAAATGTTGACGTGATGCAAGCTAAAAGTAAAATTTTAAATATTTTATCTATTAGATAAATCTAAACTTACTTGAGATCGTTCTCGATGTTGAACTTGACCAACTTTGCTGGACTTTTTCCATGATGACATGATAATAATTAGTTTTAAAAATGGAGGAGAAATAATATATATATATTCCTTTTGATTTTTCTATTTTCAAGATTATATTCAATTGATCAATTCTCATAGACCAATTGAAGATGTATGCAGCTAGAGGTCGTTATATATAACTGAAAATAAGGAATACTTGATTGATTTATTTTCTCTACATATTTCCGAAGTTTCAATGGAGTCCAATAAACTATGGGAAAACATGGATAGCAGTGTCGATGCACATGGAATCACATAGTGAGCAAAACTTCCTAGATTACATAAATAAAAACACATTTTATTACATCAAAATTATCTTAAAAATAACAACATATTAACTAAAACAAGGTACAGTCTTTCTAAAAACTCGTATGTGTATTGTATTATTATCAGAGAATTTGTTGATTATTCAGATTTAGTATTATAAGTCTTACATTTTGATACAGTATGATAAGAACATAACTAATAATAGAAAAGTATATATTTCAAATATTCATTTTCTATTTGTAGCTATCTCAGACAATCTAAAAAAATCAGATGTTTATTAATAGCTTAAGAGACCTTTTCTGTTGCCTTGAAAATTTTACTGTTTAACTCTTTCCGACCGACTATTCAAAACATGTTGTCATTTGCCAACATCCCGTCGAAAAAGGTTAAATTTCATATTCCCATCCTCATAGTATATGTTAAGTACTTATTTCTAATTCTCGTTTTACATAATAAATATTACTTGACACATGATTTTGGCATTTTAAGCAAAACTGCATCAATGGACATATTTTTATTAGTAGGTAACATACATATTGTTATTGAAGAGAGTTAATTGTTTTTTCTTGAGTATAAACATCTTCATTTTTCCTGAAGATAGAAGCACTATCATTCAGCTACACTATATACTCGAAAAAACGGATTTATTTTTCAAGAGCTATGAATATGTGAATGTAGGAATTATTAAACTATATCATCATATTCTTCACTTTTCAATGCAGTTCATAATGTTAGTACAGGATTGAATAGTATAGAAATTCTTATATAAATCGAAGTATGTATGCTCGAGTCTTCTCTCTAGAAAATATTTCAAGATGAATGTATTCTTTCGGGTTATTAAGTTTAACTGACTTAAGAATAAAAAGCTATTCCATAGAAATACTTTAACGAGTATGAAATTAAAGCAGAGATTTTTGTACATGTCACTATTTAATATCGTTTCTGTAACAGATATTTTATTCGATTCGATAAGACGCTTTCAGAATATTTTTATTGATTAATATATTTTTAACATAGACAGGTCATGTATCAACAGATGATCGATTGTAGTTAAGTATGTATCCTAGTAATTAATGGTTGGATAAAATGTACCAATAAGCGACGCGTCTTATAAGAATTCTCTTTCGATACTTTAATTGTAGAACTATGTATATCTGTAAACGATTACATATAGCATTTACTAACACAGTTACCAACAATATACATGTATGAAATAAACATAATAATAGTGTATTATGTAAACACCTATTCTTTTTAAGTATCTACCACTAATTCATCACATATTCATTTCAAATAATAAAGAATCTATATCATTGTTTATTATATACACATGTCCCTAACCTAAATACAAGATTCAGCTAAAAGAATAGACTGTTTTGTAAGATACTTGTCATTTTTTATCTATAGGATAGCAGTAAACTAGTTCACCATAATTTAGTTTGATTTGTGTCCATAACAACTTCCACGTTTCCTTTGTTAATCCAGTGGAAATTCTTTTTAAGCGGTCGTACATTTACCATACATATCTTTTCTATGATACGGAAAGTTTTGAACTCTCAAAAAGACGCAGTTAGTATATATGTACTTTGAAAGTATTCATAAATTATTTAAAATATATTCTTCGCGTGTTTTGTATGTTTAACTTGCGAATAAATATGACGCTCATACTACTTGATAATTAATTTCAATACTATAACTTTAGTTTTTGTATAAAAATGTTGATAGTTTTAAAGAATTATTAGTGATGTGTTATTTCATTTAATCTTCTCCTTTATAAAACATATTGAATAGTTTCTGTTGAATATTTATTTTTTCTTTATAGATTTATTCTATTGACTTAATCTCCTATGTCAGTATGCAACGTAATGCATAGATTGATGAGAAAAGAACGAATGTAGGATTACAAATTTATATCTCTTTTTTTATTTCGATTCTTTGCTCATGTATAACTACGAAAGGTAATATCTTTCTTTGAGTAAAGTAGCACAAAAAACAATTTGATAAAAATTTCATAGAGCTCTAAATTAAATTTTCTGATTATAAACCTATTTAATTCTATTTCTGAATCTAAAACGTACGTGAAATATCAGAATAACTAGTGTCCTCTACAATACATTAGTTTTTGTTCATATTTTATAAGAATTGGTAAGAGTTAGATACTATATCTTACATTTCTAGAATCAGAGAAATAAGTTTGATTTTCGCTGCAAGCTTCATCGGACACAATATTTAAATTTTCATACATTTTTATCACTAAAGTATGTACTATTTGTTTCTTATCTTATCTATAGTTTGTAAAGTAAATTTAAACAACATCACATTGAATATAACTCATATTTGAAATTATGATAAAACAACTGTAATTTAATACATTATTTCAATGTCAATTCAATCATTTACTCGTCGACGTTATTCTGCTATTGTTTTCACTGTTTTTTCATTCTTATTTCTTTTATATTTTTTTATTGATTTAAATGAACCAAAAGGTAAGAGTGATACTGATCGAATAAGAAATTTATTATCAACTGCTGAAAGCAAATCATTTTGTTCGGAACGATCAGTTCGACGAGGATTTAATCAACATGTTTTAAGTGTATCTGCTTATGAATCAAATGATCGTATTGAATTAAAAACAAATCTTACATGGAATTATATTAAAGAATTTGTTTCTGAAGCAAAAAGATTTTATCCAACATGGGTTGTACGTGTTTATTATTATAATTTAAAAGATAAAACACAAAATGATATTGAAACATTAGAAAAATTATATGATAATCTTGATTTTTGTAATACAGAAAATTTGCCTGTATTAGGTAATTTAAAAAATAAACTACCTGGTAAAGTGCAACGCTTTCTACCTGCTGGTAAGTAAAAAGTTCAAATAGATCTAATTGACATAATAATATGTAATTTTAGTTGATCCACTTGTTGGTGTAGCGATGGTTCGTGATCTTGATTCGGAAATATTTGAACGTGAAGTTCAAGCTGTTAATGAATGGTTATCAAAAACAACATACGCATTTCATATACTGCGTGACCATTATATGCATGGTATTCCAATGCTTGGTGGAATGTGGGGTATTGCATCAAATCGTTTATCAATCAATGATCGGTTAACAATTGCCAATGCTCTTTTACCGTCAGATAATGAAAATGATATACAACGATTTTTAAAAACTTATTCAGGTTCAGGTGATCAATTATTTCTAGAACATCATATATGGCCACTTGCTCGTCAAAATTCTATTGCTCATGATTCATTTTCTTGTTTATGGTCATATTATGTTTATCGAACAGATACTCGTCCTTTTCCAAGTAAACGTGAACATCCAACATGTTTTGTTGGTTGTCCAAAACCATGTTGTACTACTGAAATGAAAAGCATGATCGATCTATCTCGATACAAAAAATGTCCATCTATGTGTCGTCCAAAAGAACATCAAGATTGGCTATTTTGTTAATTACTTCAAAATTACAAAAATAACAAATAGACAAAACATGTATATCAAAAGACTACAATCGAATGATTTTTATTGAAACAGAAGAACTGATATTTGCTTTTGAAGATTAAATACACTGAATAAATATTAGAATTAATTAAAAAAGTTTGCAATGACAATATATATTATTTCTTTATTCAAACAATGATCATCATACAACTCACAAAATTATTTATACTCTCAAAATTGTAATGCTGACTTCACCAAATTACTGAAGATTTAATATATTTTATTATCATCAGACTTCCTATAATAGACTATTGATATTATTTTTTTTTATTAAATTAAGCCTTATTGGATTTGTAATGATTTATGTATCAATTATTAGAACTCTACAGAATATAAACTGATAATCAATATTCTTCGTCAATATTACAATTTTTTTGTAATTCTATTTAAATGATATGTCATTAGATGTGCAGAGTATGAGTATATGTAAGAGAAAGGAATAAGTAATACAAATATTCGTATCCATTCTCACATACTTAAGTAGGAGTGAGTTTTTTGTCAACTGCTGGAGTAAGCATTTCAAAACTCACTTTTTAAGAGACTCAACATTAGAAGCTTCTTTTACATTTCATTACAATAAACAGAAAATAGAACAAATATTAACAGTAAATCCAGTCAAGATGATCTTTAGGCCTACATTTTTCTGGACATGGATCTTTAAAAACAATATTTGACGAATTTTGACAACAAGGTCTAACACAACCTACATGACACTCTCTTGACGGTCTTTGCGTTGGAAAAGGACGCTGTTGTCCATGAGGAAACATATGACATGTATATGAATCAAATACTAACGATTGATCTCTAACTTTTGGCCATACTAAATCACATAATAATTTTTGATCCTTGATTAAACCATATTGTTGAACTTGATTTTTATCGAGTAAAATACTAAATAAACGAAGAAATAATAAACGATCTCTATATAATGCACTTGTCCATAAACCACCGAGTATTGGAATATTATGAAATGGATGATCACGTAATGATAAGAATAAATAAGATGAATCAATAAATTGTTCAACTACAACTTGTTCACGTTGTGTTAATGGTGAATCAAGATCACGTGATGATATGAAATCAACCATAGGATCAAGTGCCGGTAAAAATCTCCATAATTTTCCTGGTAAATAGTCTGCCACGTTACCTATTATTGACAATTCATCGACATTACATATGTCAATATTTGTTGCCTGACGTGTTAAGTTTTGTAAATGCAGTCGATTTATTGAAAATTTATCTGCATATAAACGTATTGTCCACGATGGAAATAATAATTTAGCTTCATCGATCAATGGTAAAATCAATTGAGAAAATTTTTCATCAACAAACATTTGATTCTCTTTTGGACCAAATATAGATAATGCAATAATACGTTGTTTATTACCACGACGATCAGCTTCTTTACTACACAAAGTTCTATTACTATTATAAATAATATAAAGTAATTTTGAACATATATCTGTATCTTCAATAATTCCTGATTGTTTTGGTGTATAAGAGATTAAATAGAATATCAGAATTGTCAATAGAATAAGTATTAATAATAATATAGATCGTTTATTATCAAAACAATTGAAATATTTTGATATATTCCAACAGAATGAATGATGAGAATGAAGTTTCGATGAGCGAGAGTAAACCATTTTACAAATTTCGATTTTAAATGAATAACGTCGTATATATTCGTTTTATTGTTACGAGATAGCACTAAATCAATAAGTAGATGAAGGTAACACCGCTGATAAAACGAAGAAAAAAATTATCAGTCTGACATTATTCACCATGATCGTTCTCTTATTGACAACAAATACAGAGTAAAATGGAAGCATGAGTAAATGGATAAATATGATCTATGGAAGAATAGAAAGAAATTGAAGAAGAACAGAATGATAAAATCAACACCACAATGCGTCCTTTTTTTTTCTTTACAAGTATTGCCATTACATGATCTTCTATGGTAACGTATATAGGAGTCACTTCATATAGAATATGATCAATCCTACTCTAGCAAACATGTCAGATTCTGTTCAATTAAAAATATTTAATAAAGAGAAAAGTGTGATAACTTTTATCGCTGGTTACATTGAAAAATATTAGACCGTCGAGTTTTTAAAGATATTTTGAGGAGAATTATATAAAAAGAAGGCTGTGAGAAGATCACACCTTAAATTCAGTCGTGAACAACGAAACCGTTATTCGTTCGTAAGAATTGCTCCATTATATGAAGAAATGGTTCATTTAACATATATTATTCGTGTCTTTCTCTATCCTTCAGTTGCGTCTAAGCATAGAAATAGAGAAACTAGTTCTCTTTATCAGAAGTCTTTTCTCGAACACAATAGTGTCACGCAGTACTGAATACAAGAATTCATTTTTCCTTGTCTTTAAACTTTTGCTTATTATTCGAAAACGAGTAATTTGGAAAAATGCTTTAATCAATAAAAATTTATATATATCAATCAGAATTATATCCGAAGAATATTTGATTATTCATTCACAATTCAAATGGAGGATATGTTCTTCTTTCCTGGAACACAAATGCAACGAAAGAATAAACACAAATATACACATACCATCTTCTCAATGATTGAAAAAGACAGAATTCGTATAAAAATATTTATGACACTTTCTTACTGCAATCTATTTCTATCTATAACTTTATAACATCCACTTATCAATCAAGAGATGAATAAAGCATTTCTCTTGAAATATTTATGAGTGTGCGTCATGTGTCACGAATGGATTTAACGAGTGGTCGCTCATTGTTGATGAAAATATTTTTCCTTTATTCAGTGGGTTTAAACGATATCTGTTTACAATGAAACAGCGTGCCTCTGTTTGAAGAAAATGGTTTAACTTTCGTAGAATTCGAGAATTTTGACGGAGTACGTTCTCTAGAAATTAATATCATGACTTACATGTATGAGACAAAGAACTATTTATGGCAATTTCTGATAGAAGAGGCATTGGTGTCGATGGAATTACACTTTATTATATTTTCTATTTATCAAGAATTGTATCGTTTTAATACAAAGTACACTCGGAGATACTCATCTATCAGAGAGAAGAAAAGTATTCATAATGTCAAAGTGTAACATGATATACAAGGTGTGCACAAAGAAGTAAGTATCTGAAAATAGGGTATGCAGCTGAAGCGCTCCATTCCCAGATGTACATAACATTGAGAGAGAAGAGGAAAAAAACTGAAAGAAGGTAGATAGAAAACAATAAATTGTGAAATAATACGTCAAATCGGAGCGATGTCAAAGAATATTCAAAAAAATACAACAAAGAAATATATACCAACGAGCAACTGTTGAAATGTAGATGCAAATATCTCACTAATAAGACAAACCATCAGATAAGCATAAGATGAGTACTTCGCTTGAGTTCATCAGGTAAAAATTTGCAACATTCTCAAATCAATATTAGTAGCTTTGAATGTTGATGTTAGCTGCAAGTTAACGATGATTGATATACTGCGTTGGAACTACACACAGTCGATTACCATGCAAGCCACTCTTTATTGCATTCGATGAGTTATAGTAATACTACTACCGTTCTCAATAGCATTACCATCCGACGTCATTTTCATTAATTCCACACCTCGAACATAACCGTCATTATCGTTTCATTCAATATTCGTCAAGATAAAAGACGATGGAAGGATGATTAATTTCGAACATAGGCAAAAGAAAAACAATTGTCAGGGTCGTCAAATGTGATGATATCTGATATAATGGGCACTACTTTATCATTTGAAGAAGAAATCGAAATAATAGTAAATCATCACAGATTGAATTACTATTTGAATGACGTCAATAAATCAACTTTTATTATTATTAAACACGTCAAAAATGTGCTTTTTTTATAGAACTTAAAAAAAATCGGTGAGTGCGCTTATATATCTTGTAGAAGTATAGGTGTTACCTCTTTGTCACATTAATTCAATGGGTTACAACAGTTGGAAGGTGAAAAAAAGGATTAGTGCGTCACTTATGGACAGACTGACAAACTAATAATGTGATTTCAAAGTATACATACAAGAAGAAAGGAATAAATGAAAAATAAATAACATCGTGACCATTTCACTCAAGGATGAGTAACATACTATGGATTGTTACACTAGCACTTGCTGATGACTCATCGAGAAATTTGCAGCTGAAAGATGATTTTTCATTCTAGGCGAATTCATTTTGTTATCTGAAATAGTCATCGATATTCAAACAGAAATCTACATGGAATGGTGATTTATACTTTCCATGAATATATAAGCGAGATTGATAAAATCAATTTGTTCTCATAGAAACTCTTAAACGCATTTACGTATTAAATCTATTAATAGATTTCACTGATGATCGATTTGATAAGTTAATAAAAATGATCAATTGGTTATTAACATTATAATTAATAAATATCTAACATAGAAAATATATATATTATGTCAAAGTTCCGCAACTTCAACAATGTTATTTATTGAAATTATAACTTTAATGTACATTCTTTTCGAAGTTATTTCGAATAATTTAATCAGATATCAATTACTAAGAAATTTATATCAATTTTTCAAAATACATAATTAAAATAAAGCTGTGAGCTTAAGAATATGTAGAACTATACAAATTACTGATGAACGATAAGATACATTGAATAAACAAAAACCCATTTATTATGGTCTGCTGTTAAATTATGGTATCATGAATTACAGAGCACCTTCTTTTGTTTCCACTTATATTTATTTATTTTATATGCACCAGTAAGACTTTGAAGTGTGATTAATTCGCTTAATGAATTTAGTTCATCTTGTGTAACATTTTATATCTATAACTTTAGTATTCTACATACTTTCCGTATTTGATAAAAGTATTTCATTTTTATTTTCAAGATATATTCTATGTATTGCAGGTGATGATACTGGTAATCATAAGGAGAGATACGCTATACTATGGATGAAGACTTTCTATGCACACTTTTCAATAACCATCACTATACTCTATCAAAGCAACTGAGATTTATATTGAACAAAGATCTTCAAAGTATCAGTGGAATAAAGTTTCATCGTTTCGAAATAATTTCTTTGATAATTATAAATATACATAGTTCTATATATTTTTAAACATACAACTTAACTTTACTTATGTGCTTTGAAAAATGAATAGAAATTTCTCGGTAGTTGATACTTGATGAAATCATTCAAAATAACTTCAGCCTTATACAGTCAAAGTTCAGCATGACATATATATGTACTTTTTTCACTAACAACTTTGTCATCAGTAATGAATGAGATACATGACTATAATTTACCAAACAATATTTTATTGATGAATCAAGTAATACGATTGTCAATAGATACTGATCTTTGTTCAATATTTTCTTATTTTTTATTGTAATATCAACTGAAAAACATTAACACATTCTTTTTCAAACCTTACATTAGACATATGCTGCCAAGAAAATACAAAAATGATGATTTTTCCGTAAAAAAACAAGACAAAAAAAACATTTTTGATCATGAAACAGATATTATTTTTGATGTCTTTCATTTTCATTAATTAAAATGCAAATGTTTATTTTAATCAATAAAAATCAAATACATCAAAAATAATATCCGTCTCATCATTTTAACGCCACTTTCTTTATTTTTTATTAAGAAGAGCAGAAAATTTTCCACTCTTGGCCTTTGTTTATCAATTGATAGAAGTAACAATAATATTCATTAATTGATTCATATAGAAAACAGTCGAAACAGCACTTTTTGAACATGATTTGCTAATGTATTTGTGTGTGGTGTATATTTAATAAAGTACATCATATCCTTTAAAACACAGAATTTTCATCCAACGATTCGTCGAAAATCGTAAATTATATTTTATAACTTTGAGATACGTAAAAGTTGCTTTAGATTTTAATTCTTTACAGTAATTTTTTATCTTAGCAGAAATCTAGTTGTTTTGCAACGAATATATCGAAATTTGACAGATGCTAATACATTTTGCTTAAAATTCTACATCTCTATGTATAAATAATCTATTATCAATCATTATATAGATATTCTCTGTCATACAAATGCTATAACCATCGACTTTTTGGTTAAGACGTCTAACATTTTGCGTGTATTGTAATTGTTTTTGATTGAGATACACTTCCTGAAATAATTTATAAAATTGAAGTCATTACAAAGATTAAATTCTGTTTTTCATTTCTTTATTAGTTTTTTTTCAATAAAATCAGTTGTAACAGTCTATACTGTCTTCATTTTGTGAATGTGAACATTTGAAGAGACTATAGTGCAACAAAAACGTAAAGAATATTGCCCAGTCGTCAAAATATGAACAAGCTTAAACTCATCGTTATCTTGGTCTTATTTGGGATTGTTCACACGCGTCAAATTGGTTCGATATCTGACCATGTATTTAGTTATGCACTTTCAACAAACGATTTTTCGATAACATTTCAAAATATAACATCATGCAATGTTTGCATTTGTGCTGCTTTTATGTCTACAATTAACTATGTAGCTATCAATTGTTATAAAACCAACAATACTTGTTTGTTGATAGCCTTTTCAGCTAATATTACAGGTATTATTTCATCCCAAAACAATTCGTTATACATTCTACCAGGTATGCCCATGCCGTTGGTTCCTGCAAATAGCTCTACTAGCCCATCCTCAACCAGTGCACCCCTTATCAATTCTACGCCAAACAGCGCTAGTTCAACACCCACAAGTAATTCTTTATCAACTAGTGTCAGCTCAACAGTATCGACCAATACAAATTCTTCATCAAGCATCACTAGCTCTACAACATCAACCAGTTCAAATTCTTCGTCAAGCATCCTTAATCCTTCAATGCCAAGTAATACAAACTCTTCATCAAGCAGTACTAACACTACAACATTAACCAGTTCAAATTCTTCGTCAAGCATCCTTAACCCTGCAGGACCAAGCAATATAGATTCTTCATCAAGCCAAACTAACTCTACAACATTAACCAATTCTAATTCTTCATCGACCATCCTTAATCCTGCAGGACCAAGCAATATAGATTCTTCATCAAGTGCCAGCACTAGTCCAACATCATCCAGTGCCAGCACTACTTTAGCGTCATCTAGTGCCAGTACTAGTCCAAAATCATCGAGTACCAGCACTGATTCAGCATCATCTAGTGCCGGCAATACTTTAGCGTCATCGAGTACCAGCACTAATTCAGCATTATCCAGTGCCAGTACTAGTCCAACATCATCGAGTACCAGCACTAGTTTAGCATCATCCAGTGCCAGTACTACTTTAGGGTCATCTAGTGCCAGCAGTGATTCAGCATCATCCAGTGCCAGCACTACTTTAGCGTCATCTAGTGCCAGCACTAGTCTAACATCATCTAGTGCCAGCGCTGACTCAGCATCATTCAGTGCTAGCACTAGTCCAACATCATCTAGTGCGAGCACTAGTTCAGCATCATCTAGTGCCAGCTCAAAAGCACCCGCTACCAGTTCAGTATCAAGTAGTAGTAGCTATAAATTAACTACTATTAGTTCTACATCAAGTACTGCTGCTAGCAGTTCGTCAACATGGCATTGGAATGGTATACCAGGCAATTACCCTTATGGATAGGGCATTGTCAATTTCTTAACACATTGATCCTTTACCAACTAGTTAATTTAAATCATTCATATTATAGTTTATAAACGTTGTTTACAGATTTTCTTATTTCTATAGTAGTAGTGCAGTAACAACTACAACTACAATAAGTATTACTATATGATATATACCGTGATTTACTACGCAATAATTTGATGCCTCTTATATTTCTCGGAGAATTGAAAAATACCTAGTCACACTTTTTTATAAATCAGTTTCAAGAACAAAAAATATTTGTTGTAATCATTATTTAATTAATAAAACAGCTGTATCATTCGCTTCATTATTCGTTTGTTATAAATTTATGATTAGAATACCCGAAGTATAATACAAACTAGATAGGTAGCATGCGTTACAAATGAAAATCGTTTAGCTGAATTTTAAGGTTGTTAATCAAACGTTATTACTACGAATTGACGACACTTGTATAGAAAGTAAATTGTGAGAATACTACACACATGTCAATGTAATATCTCGAGGGTATGAGCGTGGTTGTAGTTAAGAGAAGAGATACTGACGCTCACTCTCAAGATGTTTCATAATTATTTCAATTATCAAAAATAAATCTTTAAGAAATTTTAATCTTTTGTTTTTAAGATTAACTTTTTGATAAGAAGTTTATTTGAAAAATCATCGCTACTACATTAATCAAACGAATATTGATTATCCAAGTACATATTTTCAGATCTTTCGTATTATTGAAAATGGAAATTTTACAAAGATATTCAATTATGTTGAATAATAATTATTATGCATTTATCAATATCCGAATAAAGCATCATTCGTACAAAAAAACACAAAATGATCAGTAAAAAATGCGATAAGAAACATATTGTTAGTAAAGAATAAATACTGATAAGTAAGATGATTAAAAAAAGACACAAAAACATTATTCGTTGATTATAATCGAGTTATTTTATTTGGAAGAGATGATGCTTGTGGAGGAGGATTGTTCGTTGTAGCAGATGATGATGTCAGTGTACTATTAACAGCAGAAGGTGTTGTTGATGATGTTGATGGATAATGTTTTCGAACATAAAAACTAAATTCATTTGGTGATTGTTGTTGACAATCTGTATTCGTATTTGTTGATGCTAAACTCATTTGATCAACAACATATGAAAAATCATCATCATCTTCATCACTTGATGATGCTGATAAGACAGCGTCAGCTACAGGACGTAATCCAGCTGGATATGCTGGAGAATAATCATAATCACATCCTTCATTTGATATATCACTATTACTTGAATATTCAGTTTTAGGTGGCTTAGAATAACCTAATGGTGGACGAGCTGGGGGAGTAAGTTTCTTTCGGTAACGACCGGTTCGTGCTGATGGTGGACAATCACCACTTAATGATGGATTCTTAATACGTTTTGTTCGTGATAATGAATTTGGTGGTGGTGATGTTGAAATAATTTCACTAACAATTGTTAAATCACTTGGTACTATTCGTATTGGTTGTGCATTTGATGCTGGAAAATTAAAAAGTTTCGTATCAGATTGAAAGATTCTTTCGTTTCTTCTATCACTTAAATTTGATGTATCAGTAAGTGATGTTGCTAAAAGAGATGTACGTCCACTTCGCGATAGAAGACGATTTTGTGTAGAATCATTTAATGTTGCTGGTGCGTCACTAGATGATGATGCTTGATCGGATTGATGATAAAAATATTCACTCATAGGATTTAAATGAATATCTGATGAATGATGTTCTTCATTTGAATCATCTTCATCACCACCACTTAATTCACCAACACTTAAATAACCTGTAGAATCTAATAATGGCATTAATGGACTTGCTATTGGCGAATGTTCACCTATAGAATTAATAAAATGAGAAATAATGATTTATTATATAAAATTAACAAAAAGAAAGAAATTTTATCGTTATACTAATCAATACTGAATACATACCTGAACTTGTATTAGCTGAATAAGTTTGTTGTCGTGCTAATCTTGGTTGTTGATAAGGGGTATTTGGTATATGATAAACTTTTTTTTGAAAATTGAATCTAACAATTAATACAGCTAAATTTTCTTTTGCACCATAACTTTGTGCTATATCAACAAGTTTTTTTGATGCAAGAACAGGATTATGAATTGAACGGATAGTTCGTACAGCTTCTTCATGTGATAGATGCTGCCATAATAAATTATTTGCAATAATAAAAAATTCATCATTTTTACTTAAAATAAATGATGATATATGTGGTGTTGGTAAAACAGCTGGATAAAGAAATGAACAGCCTAACATTCTTGTTTGAGATGTTATAGCATTTAATGCATTATCTTCATTAATAATTATATTTGGTGTTTTTCTTACACGTTTACCTTCACCTTCATCATGTGGAATTGTAAAACGACGTGTTAAAGGATGTATTATTGATGATCGACAAAGTATAGCTTCACAGTGACCAACATTAGCTGCATTTAATTCAAAACGAAAATTATTTTCAGTTTGTGATGATGATGAAGATGTTGTTGTTGTTGATGAATAAACATTTGAATTTATTGTATTTAATGGGGTTAAACTACGTATATGAACTACAGTTGATGCTGCACCTAAACGTTGTCCAGTTGTTTTTAATCGTCTAAAAAACAAATAAAATATTATTTTAATAAAATAATAGAATTAAAACAAACTTTTGTAATGTAAGAAATGTATGTTTAAGATAAACATTTGCTTGATCACATTGTTCATATTCATATTTTAATATATCAGGTAATTTATGTTTAAGAATAAGTGGAACTTCATTATTTAATCCACCATCAAACATTGCAAATAAAGCATCATTAGCTGAATAATTAAATGATCCTTCATTTACAGTTGTTATTGCTAATCTATATATAGATTGAAAAAAAAAGAGATTATTAACAGAAAATAATATTAGAGAAACATTAATGCAAACCTATTTCGACTACCAGAACTTTGAGCAAAACCAACAGTCCATAATGATGTATCAGATGATATATCTGATAATCCCGATATATTTATTAAAGAAACAGTTTTTTGACTAAAATAAAGATTAATCATATAGAGATATATTATTGATTTTATAATTAGACTTAAAGCATAGATAACTAATCAAGTTATAATCTCTTTCGGATACAAAAAATTGTGGCAGCGAAATTTACCTTCATAATTTCTTCTCTAACTGCATCATCGATTAAATCTACGTGAGATCAAATATTACAGTATACTGGTTGTCCTATACTTAACCCTAAAACACTAATTCATTTCTTTCCTTCACTATTGATCTGCTGGCAGAACACCAAAAGAAACGTTTAAGGTGCGTGTATGCCCCAGGCGGTCGTGTCAAGGTTAAAAGTGTTTATTACAAAACATACCTTAATGATTTTAGACTATCTCTTTGTATATTAATTGCTTGATTTCCAGATAAATCAAGTATTGTTAATGATGGTGGAAATAAATTATCAATAGAAGCTGAATCAATTGCATTAAAACTTAAATCTAATACCTAAATGAAATTCAATTATATTATTTAATTAATATTCACATTGAAAATATATACTTTAAGTGAATTCAATTGACGTAAATCTGGTATTGCACGAAGTTGATTTGAATGAAGATATAATCCTTGTAAATTTTCCATTGATGATAATGCAGTTTGTGGTAATGATTGAATATTATTTCCTGATAAATTTAAATCTGTTAATGAAACTAATTTACTCAAAGAAACATCATCCACTTGTTCAAGTTTATTATAAGCTAAATAGAGTATTTTTAATCGTTCATAACGAGATATTAATGCGAATACATCATCATCTAATTCATTACACGATAAATAAAGTTCTTGTAAACGATTTAAATCAGTACGATCATTTGGTAATGGTAATGATATAAGTTGATTCGAACTTAAATTTAAAATTTTTAATCGATGCATATTTTTCAAGAAATTAACTGGTAATTGTTCAATACGATTCGAATGAAGTAGAAGAGTTTCAATATTACAATTTGTTATTTTCCCAGGAAGTTGTAATAAACGATTATGATTTAATCGAATATATTGAAGACGTTTACTTGATGTAAAAAATTTATTAGGTAAAACATTAATTCGATTATGATCAGCTATTAATCTTTCTAATGATAAGTTATCTTCATTTAACCAATCGGGAAGATTTTGAAATTCATTTCTATCAGAAAAAACAATTAAATTTAATAAAATAAATATTATATAGAACTTACGAGCTTATATCAAGTTGAACTAAATTTATCGGAGGAGTAATTACATCAATATGTTTTAATTCTAAAAGAGAAGAGGAGAAAATACAATAAAAATTTTCAAAAAAAAAAGAAAGTTTTACTATTATGAGAAGCATTTAATTGTTTTAATAAATGACCATTTAATATTAAACGTGATGTATTATTATATGAACAATTTATTTGTTCGAGATTATTTAATGAACGTAAATCAAGTTCATATATACGATAATTATGTGAAATATCAATGTATGTTAGATGTATTAATTGATTTAATAAAAGAAAATCATTTTCATCAAATTTAACTTGATTCATACGTAGATCTAATTGACGACAATGTTCAAGATATTGTATACTATCGACGGATAATTTACGAATATGATTTCCTGCTAAAGATAAATGACTAACATCAGAATAACGAACATTTGTTAAACGTGCTAATGATATTGGAATATCTTTAAATAGATTAAAATCCAGATAAAAATCACGTAATCGTTTGAGATTTTCGATTTCATCTGGTAAATTTGATAGACGATTACTTTGTAAATTGAGAACTTCCAAACTAAACACAACGACAACAAAAAAATCTTGATTGAAAAAAAATAAAAAAATATTTACTTTTGTAATTTATCGATATCACTTGGAATGGAATCGATACCATTACTAGCAAGATTTAAATCAACAATACGAGGAAGATGACAAATAACATTTGGAAAGATTTTTAAATCATTATCAGCTAAATTTAAACATGTTAAATGTTGAAAACGTGTTAAATCATCGAGCCAACCTAAAAAAAACAATGAATATAAATATCATCATCATCATTGATAAGATAATGCTATGTTTACTGTGAGACTCTGATTTTTTTTATCGAATAGAAAAGGTTTCTATCGGATTTTTTACAATCACCTCGATAGCTTAAAATTAAGTATGGAAACCATAAAAAAAAACGTTCGATTTTTTTCTAAGGTATCAAGAAAAATAAGGAATTAGATTTATTTACCGGCAGTAAAAACTGCTTCATCAGATGGTCTCATAAGTAAATTATTGTGTCGTAAATTAAGAACAGCTAATTTTGGATTAACAAATAATGTTTTTGGAATTAATTCCAAATGACTCGAAGAATAATCAGCAATATCCGGTAATTTATTTGTAGTCTAAAGAAAATATTCAAGAATTAATTTCATGCTTATAAAAAGAAATTGATACATACTTTTCGTAAACGTTTAAGCCATCGACTATATTCTTCGTCATTATTCAAAGCCATAAATAAAGCTTCACCTTTTCCATCATCAACAGTTAATTTTAAACAAAATGGTTTATCTCTTGAATGAACTTCTTCGACACTTGCACGTTGTAATTCAATGACACATGGATTTGTATTTGCATCTACAAATAAAAAACAAATCGAGAATTTCTATGAAAAAAAGATGAAGAAGTTTATTTTCAAACCAGGATAAACTGTTAATCGACTAGTTGATATAACACATTTTCGTTTAATCCATTTTCGTATTAATTTTCCTTTACGAATCCATGCTAATGTTGATAAACTTCGAGGTTGAATTTTTGGATCAATTATTAATCGATCAGAAAGAAATCGTATAAGATAACCAAGATCATGTTTATCACCTTCTTGTTGTAATCGTTGTACAGATGAAAATCCAATAGAAAGAAGATAATTATGTTGAATAAATAATGGTTTCTCATCTGGTCGTAAATGTTGTATACGATCACCATGATATTGAGCATACCATGTTCGTGGATCTAAATCATTATTTAATCTTGAACATATTTGTTCAATTGTTGTCCACATTGTACATGGTACAAGTTTCGAACGTGGATATGATGATGATGCATCATTTGGATCATATAAACGAATAAAACCATTATTTGAATCAAGTAAAAGCCATTCATCAATATTATTTGTATTATTTTGATTAATTTGATTAATTGATGAAAATGCTGATGTTAAATTAGGAAGTGCTGCGTTATCACCTGCAGGTGGTGTCATATTTGTATTGTCATTTCTGTTTGTTGCTAGACTAATATATTGTTTTATAAATTGTCGATTTGGATAGTAGAGATCATCGGATATATGATGGGAAATATCGTAAGACGCCAGGTTGAAGAAAATATGGTAAATAAATGTTGACACGAGCGTGTTTTATAACAATTATGAAGATCATGGCATTCATCACGCGCAAACGCGTGTGAGAACTCGTAAAGAGTAATTTAAGCTTTTCTCTTTCGTTTCGTTTTTTTTTTCAATCACTTTTCTTTTTTTTTCTATGCCCTTTTCTTTACTGTTCTTTCAACCAATCTTGAGTTATATTTTAACGAATCAAGTTTAAAATATTTTATTTTGACAGCTTGCGATATCTATAGATATAGGTGAGTTTTATTTGAAAATAATGAACATTCTTTCATTCACCAACAAAAGCGATCAACAACGAAATGTGTCAATCATTTGATAAAATCATGAAAGATCGGACTACTGCTATTCGTTTTTTTTTCTCTTTATAATCTAAAGTCACATCAACATTCAAAATAGAGTATTTCTTTTGTCATGATCGAAAAAAGTCAGGTATTCTGATCGGTAAATAATGACAGAGATTAACAGTTACATACGTTTATAATATTGTTATTGTTGATCGATAGAAATATTTTACGTATTATAAATAAAGAATAAATTGATTGTAGTTTATTTTTCATATGATTTCATCCTACAGTGTATATAAAACATTTCAGACTTCATTATACATGATATACTAATATCAAATATTTTTTTCCATTCAAAAATTGATTTGTTAAATGTCTCTAGGTTCTTCCAATGTTTGTATTGAGATGTACTAAAGAAAAAATATATAATTTTGACTCAAATGATAACAGTTTTAATGCCAAGATTTTTATATTAAATGGTTTGACGTTCCTACAAGTCTAGAATTTTTTTGAATTGTTGTATTCTTTAATTATTTATATTTAAAAAATTCTCATTGACTATGAGCGATCTCTATAGAAAAAGTAAAATGGAAGGTGTTGTTGTCTAGCAGTGTTTGTAAATCGAAAATGGTTGTTATTCGCAACAAAAGTCTGTTACTCTAAAACAAAGCGGACATTACTTTTCACACACATCAACACGAACGATGGTTAAAAAAGACGATGAAGTCAGTGTTTCCTCGGAAACCAAAGGTCCATTAAAAAGTTTTCAAGCATTGATGGGCGAAGGTGAAAAGTTTTCTCGAGATAAGCTCTATACCAAAGCTATTCAATCTTATACTGAGGTAAATTTATTTTATTAATAAAGTTTTAATATATAAAAAAAAAATTAAATTCAGGCACTCAGCCTTTTACCAATTGATGATGATAAATCAACAGCAAAAGATATTAATGATCGATTAAATGGTCTAGTTGCTCGATCAGCATGTTACTTGAAAACTGGAAAAAATAATTTAGCATTACAAGATGCTGAAGAATCATTAAAAAGCAATAAAGAATTTACCAAAGTATTTTTTTGTTTGGTTTTTTTTAATATTTTATTCTTCTATTCTTATCATGAAGGGTCTATATCAAAAAGCTGAAGCTCTTTACGCAATGGGTGAATTTGAATTAGCATTAATGTTTTATCATCGTGGTAAAAAACTTCGAGGAGATCTTCGAGAATTTCAATTAGGTATCAATAAAGCCCAAGAAGCTATTGATAATTCAGTTGGAGGTATTTATTTATTGAATCAAATTTAATCTGAAAATGATTTGAATTTTGTTTTTTTTAACTAAGATCCAAATCGTGTTAAACTTGAAGCAAGTGGTGACTTATCGATTTTTTACAAAAATGAAGAGGTAAAATATTTTTCTAATAAAAATATATGTTTGCACATATGCATGATATTTCACAGGATGAAGCCAAAAAGGTGATTTTATTTTCTAGTTTGAGATTAATCTAGTATTTTTTGCGTGATTAATTTGCTAATAATGAAATTATGCTTTGTTTTCACTGTATTGAATAGAATCATAATTCACATTTTTTTTACTTATAAAATAATAATAGAAAAAGAAACAACCAGTCGGTTATGTACGTGCATCACAAAAGAAAGATACAACTGTTCAACGTAAACCTCATCCACCACCAGCTAATCCAAAAACAACAAAACAACTTCTAGGTGATCTATATGAAGATCGATGTTTTCTCGATAAAATTGTCAATAATACAAGTAAAAGATTATTTTTTGTAAATTTATTATTTTGATTATAATTTTATTTTATAGCTGTTACAAAACAAAATACAAAATCTGGTGATGCTATTTATCAATTAGCATCTGATGGAATTGATTATTTGGATAATCGAACACATTTCTGGCGTCAACAGGAACCACTTTATGCTCGTTCAAAAGGCTCGAAAAAACCGGAAAGTGATGATGAAATTTACAATTATATTCATCGTGAACTTGAAGCAATTGATGAACGTAAATAAATTTTCCAAGAAAAGAAATATATATAAATTAAATTTCATTTTTTGTTTTTTCTAGAACAAAATATGGATCAATTTGGTGATGCACGTCGTCGTGCACATCGTTTACTTGATTTCTGTGAAAAATTAGATGAAAATAAATTTCCAGAAAAACAATCTGTACTTGCCGATGTTTATTCACGTTTAGGCAATGCATACTTAGAATTAGGTGATTATAATAAAGCATTAGATTATCATTTCCGTGATTTAACAATTGCCGAAAAAAAACATTATACCGATCGATCATCACGTGCATTGGATAATTTGGGTCGAGTATATGCACGTAGTGGACAATTTGCACAAGCTATTCAAGTATGGGAAAGAAAGATACCATTAGCATCATCACCATTAGAAAAAGCATGGTTATTTCATGAAATTGGTCAATGCCATTTTGGACTTGGTTTGTGAAGAACAAAAAAAAAAAAGAATTTTTTGTTTTTATTAAAAATTTTTCTTAAGGTGATTATGAACGATCAAAACGTTATGGTGAACGATCATATGTTGAAGCTGTTGCTGTCAATGATCCAGTTTGGCAATTAAATGCTAAAGTACTTGTTGCACATAGTCAAGCAAAATTAAGACAATATCGTGAAGCTGAACAAACATTTGAAGAAGCACTTACTTTAGCTAGAGATCAACGTAAGTTTAACTTTTAATAGATTTTTTTTATATCCGTCGCTTAAAAACTATTTAGAAGTTAAAAATTCACCAAGTGAGATTAATATATGCCTATATGTTGCATGAATTTATTGAGTATCTTTTTAAATGTTCTACTTTGCATGTCAAATGCTTTTTCTCTCGATTCGTTAGCTATACGATAGAAATAGAGATGAAGAATTTTCTTTTACTATTTAGATGATATGGCTGCTGAACGAGCAATAGAACGTGCATTAAAAGATGTTCGAGATCAAATAGCTAAAGGAGCAGCTGATTGTAAGTTTGTTTTTATTTAATTTTATTCTTTTAAATATAAATAATTTCTTATTTATTTTTCTATTAGCTCCACCTGATCGACCAGGTAAATTTAGAAAAGAAATATTATTATTATTATTCTTTTTAAAATAATATTTCTTTGTAGAAACAACTTATGAAATCAAAATCAAAAGTGATGATACTATTGAATATAGTGATGAAGATAAAGGTGCAGTTCAATTAACTATTTATGGTGCTGATGGAAGTTCAGGCTCAATTGATTTACGTAATGATGACAAGAAATTTGATGGGCAATCAACAACACTTAAAAAGAAAGCAATTGATGCAGGAAAAGTATGAATATAAGTTTGAAAAAAACTCTAACTAATTAATTTTTATTGGCTAGGCAACAAAACTTGCATTGACCTGTAGTAAAATTGATTCATGGCCACTTGATTCAATTGAAATTTCTGATAGTACAAGAAAATCTAAACAGAAGTATGACGAATATTTTTATGTATAGTATATTTTAAGATGCCATTGAATTTTTCTTTAGATTTTTACTAGCTCAACCAATTGATTCAAATACAAGTATTATTGATCTATATCCAGAAGGATGTAAGTTTGAGAAAAAAAAATAATTTCTTTATTAAGAATTATATTATCAATTTATTTAGCCATTGTGAAATTTCCTTTTGATACACAACAACAACCTGCAAGAAGTATAGTGACATCAGGAAATTAAACGATTAAATAACTTTGTTCTTTTTTTCTTAGAAAATAAACCCAAATCGGCACAAGGAGCTACTGCAAATGATGCAAATAAACGTATGGAGTCACCTAATAAATAAACAGAGTTCAGTCTTAGTTTATTGCAAAACTTTTTTGTTGTTTAGCCGCTCAATATTTGGTTAGTGTTAAAACCGGTTCAGCAATGGGATCAGGTACTGATGCACATGTATTTATCACCCTTAATGGTGATAAACAAAAAATCACTCGACATCAACTTGATGTACCTGAATCAGGTCGAAATGCATTTGAAAAGAACTCTAAAGATGATTTTAAATTCACTGATGTTGACGTTGGACAAGTTTGTTTTGTGTTATTTCTATAGATTCATATAAAACATACTTATTATTCTAGTTGAAAACCATTACTCTTGAACATGATAATTCTGGTACAGCTTCTGGCTGGTTTGTCGATTTTGTTGAAGTCACAGTCAATGGAAAAACCACTAAGTAAAAAATCTGGATATTTTTGTTAGGACTTTGCTTATTTTATCTTAAATTTGATATGTATAGATTTCCTGTTAATCGATGGCTTGATGCAGATGAAGATGATAAACGCATTAGTCTTGAACTTGAACCAAATAAAAAACCTGGATCCATGGCTCAAGCTGGTAAGTAGAAAAAAATTTTTTGTTTGAAATTTTTTATACTAACAACTAATCTATTTAACACATCAGAAGTAGAAACTAACAAAGAAGAAAAACGTCCATCGATTTCGTCGAACGATGAACATAGAAACAGAAAACCATCTGAAGAAAAAGTTGTATATGATGACTTTTTTGATGACGATGAAGAGGGTCGGTTGCCATAAACATTTGTGTCGTTTTTATTGTTTGCTTTTGCTTTTCAATGGATAATATGCTATGTGCTGTATTTTTTTGTGAGAATGATTATTTAATTTTGTTTTTAAAATATTCAGATAAATCAAAAAATGCAAACAATGTTGATTATGAAGTAACAGTTAAAACAGGCGATAAACGAGGAGCAGGAACTGGTACTATTTTTCATAAAACTATTCTTTATAAGACGAAACTTTTATTTTAACATTGAATAGATGCAAATATATACTTAAGTATATATGGCGATAAGGGCAAAATTGAACGAAATCAATTAAAAGAACCAATGGAGCATACTGTGAATAAATTTGAAGCTGATGCAACAAATCGCTTTAAAATAAATGGAGCAGATCTCGGAAAAGTAATATGGAACAAAAAATTAGCTCTTCCATAAGTTTAAATATATTTAAGATTCAACGAGCTCATATTGAACATGATGGTACTGGAATTGGTTCTGGTTGGTATCTAGATTGGATTGAAATTCGTGATATTGCAAACAAGATAACCTATAAGTAAAAGATAATATAAATTTATGTTACATTAATTTTCTAATGTTTATATAGATTTCCGGTTGACCGATGGTTAGATCGGGGTGAAGGAGATAAAAGAATTGCACTTGATCTTGAACCAGATAAAAAACCTGGTCAATTAGGAGGTATTAGTTCATGTCTTCTATCAACATGCATCATTTAAAAAAATACTTTCTTTCAGCACCTAAAACTCCAGATACAACAGTATCTCAACAGCCTGCTAAAGGTAAGAAATAAAGTCATACTACAGTTATAATACAAATAAATATACGACTAACAATATCTTACTAATGAAAGATATCGAAAAAAAATACTCTTAAGTAAAACTACAGTATTTATATGAGTTTTACTAGAAAATAACACATAGGCCCCATTCTTCGATAAGAGACCTGATAGTTCAAGCTAAGTCTATGATAACATATCGATAAAACAATCTCAATTTACATCAATGATACATAGTTGTAAAATGCAGATATTCTTCTTACTATTGCCTAGAAATGACAGAAGTTTTACTTTAATATCTTTGTGTAGTAATCAGACAACACTATCAACTACTTTCTAACTTAACTATAACTCTATTTTCTATTAAACAGCACAAGCGAAACCAACTACATCTGATTCGAATAAAAGTAAATACGCCATTACTACTTACTTTAAACTTATTTTAACACTGTTTTTCGTATTTAGAAGTTTCCTATTTGGTTAGTGTCAAAACTGGTCCAGAAATGGGATCAGGTACTGATGCAAAAGTATTCATCACTCTCAATGGTGACAAACAAAAAATTGCTCGACATCAACTTGATGTACCTGAATCAGGTCGAAATCCATTCGAAAGAAATAATAAAGATGACTATAAATTTGATGAAGTTGATGTTGGACAAGTATGTTTTCTCTTAATTCTGTACATTCTTATGTAAGATACTCTTTATTCTAGTTAAAAACAATCATTCTTGAACATGATAATTCTGGTTTAGCGTCTGGTTGGTTTGTCGATTTTGTTGAAGTCACCTTTAATGGAACTACCACCAGGTAAAAGAACTAAATATTTTCGTTACGACTTTGTTTTTTATCTGAAACTTGATGTATAGATTTCCTGTTGGTCGATGGCTCGACAAAGACGAAGATGATAAACGCATTAGTCTTGAACTTGAACCAAATAAAAAACCAGCATCAAAATCTAATAGTAAGGAGACATTATCTTGTTTGAACTTTGTATACTAACAACTAATATATTTAACATATATCAGACGTAGATACTAACAAAGAAGAAAAACGTTCTTCTATTTCGTCGGATAGTGAAAATAGAAGTGATCAATCTTCTGTTAAAAAGACTAAAGATAATGAGTTTGTCAAGAATGAGGGTTGGTTGATTTGATGCACATTATGCTGTTATTATAGTTTCTGCTAGTATATGCTTTTGCTTGCTAGTGGCATTGCTTATGTGTCGTGACTCTCCTTCTATATCATTGAGTTAATATTATATGCAATATTTAGATGCTTCAAAAAATCCAAATGCTATCGAATATGAAGTAACTGTTACAACAGCTAAAAAACGAGGAGCTGGAACTGGTAAGTTGTTATTTATTTATCTTTAAAACATGACATTTTCATTGTATTATTCAATAGATGCAAATGTTTACTTAAGTATATTTGGTGATAAAGCTAAAATTGAAAAAAATCAACTGAAAGAAACAGTTGATCGTAGCATGAATAAATTTGAATCTGGTTCAGTAGATAAATTTCAATTATATGAAACAGATGTTGGAAAGGTAAACTTGAATATAACTGTACTCAGAAATTACAGTTACTCTCTACTTCAGATAAAAACAATTCGAATTGAACATGATGGTGCTGGAATGGGTGCTGGTTGGTATGTAGAATTAATCGAAATTCGTATTGTACCACGCAATGAAATTTACAAGTAGAAAAAATTCTAAAGTTAAATAAAATTCATTTTCCCTTATGCATTTAGATTTCCAATTGATCGATGGTTGGATTCAGGAGAAGGAGATAAGAGAATTTCACTCGATCTTGAACCAGATAAAAAACCTGGTCAATTAGAAGGTAAAATTCTAGTTTTCCTACCAACATAGTATTTATAACGGAATAAAATATAAAGATGATTGCTTATACCTTGAGGGTGAGTGTGGACGAGTCTGTTTCTTTTTTACTTTACACCCACATCCTCAATCATCTTTATCAACTATTTTCTAATTTAACTGTAACTCTATTTTCTATTAAAAAGCACAAGCGAAACCAACTACATCGGATACAAATAAAAGTAAATACATCTATAATAACTATTTGCTGACTTAACTATAACTCTATTATTTTTTAAATAGCACAACCGAAATCAACTACATCGGATACAAATAAAAACAACACATCTGATCCAAATAAACGTAAACAAATCTATGATAACTACTCTTAACTTATTTTAACACCTTCTTCTTATTTAGAAACTGCATATTTGGTTACTGTCAAA